CCCCCCCCCAAAAAAAAATCACTATACAAAGCCTGAATAAATGCCTCTTTAGCTCCCATTCCCCACCTAAGGCTTTCTATTTTCAGGGAAACTAACATTAACTTTTACTATATTAAGCTACTCAAAACTGCTATTATATTGGGAAATTATTTTTAAGCAATTTACTGAATGCTCCATTAAAGTTATTAAACAATTTTATAGAAGCTATAATACACACACAAGAACCACTCAGAATTATTATTTTCCTGTTAACAAAAGCATTTTAAGGTCACAATTTTACTTCAACCAATACCTTAAACTAACCAATTAGTAAACAATTCTGGCAATTTACATATCCTAAGAAATATAACCTTTTATTCAGTACCAACACCTGATTCAAATATAAGTAATATATACCCATACCATATAAACATCCTGTTACGCAACTCAAAAAGGTACCTCTCAAAATGCACCCCAAAAATACTTGTAACAATTTAGACTCTGGGGCTGTTTGAATGAAACAAGGTTAATACAGCACATACAAAACCCTAAAAACAAATTCTATATCTAACAATTTTCAGAGTCCCTGAGTTCCTTTTGAGATTTTTTAACTATTTCCTAAAATTTGTTTAAAAGTGAAAGCCTACACAATGTGCGGTAAAAAAAAATTATGGATAACTACTAATTTGGTTGAAAATACCTAAATACCACTTATTTTTTAAAATGACATTTTAGATAAAGGCTGAGAGCTTACTTTTACTTTAGTAGGCAGGATGCAGGTTACAAAGCAGTAATGCATTACATCTGGAAGCCCCTCATCTATTCGACAATCAGCATCAGCATCTTTATATTAGTTTGATTTTTATTGTTAACGCCAGCCCAATACACTCACATAGCCTTTTGGTTCTTCAAAGAACAGTTTAGGTTTTTCTTTTCATAATTTTTACATAAAGAGTTTTATCCAGTGGCCCTATTTTATCAGATTATCACCAACCGATATTTTTATAGTTCTTATATTGACATGTTATTTTTATCTCACCCAAACTCTGGAAATTATTGGCCCATTCGCAGTTCTCAAACAATGGGACATATAAGAACAGTATATTGATAGTACTTGAGGGAGTTTGGATTTTCCCTCCCTTAATCTCCAAGTGTGCCCCTGCCTACCAGCATCACATCCGTCTTGTCTGCATTGAACCTCAACCAGTTGGTTCTTAACCACGTCCGAAACTCAGCCAGGCACTGGGAGAATCGAGCCACCACACCATCTGGATCAAAGGAAAGAGAGCCTCAGTAGTAACTAGACCAGAGACGAAAGTACCACAAGCTCACCATTCACCCTATCTCTAATTTTTAAAAGATGTCCAGGAATTAGAACAAGGATCCCATGACAATTTTTGAAAACATTAACGAATCTTGAGTCATGCAATTTGTAACCAATGGTAAAGGAATAAAAGCGACCCAATAAATAGGTCACCTCATTCCACCCAGGAATGAAGAAAGAAGGTTCAGTCAACTCCAGGTCATCTCGGCTAAGCGGCCTCAGGAGACCGGACACTCTTGTTACTGCATAAGTTTTTCTGCAAAATTAAGAATTTTAGTGTTGGAGAAAGCTTGATGGATAACTGGGGCCCAGAAAGGGGTGGTGACTCGCTCAAGGTCACACAGCAAGCGAGGAGGACCAGAGATGAGCTACAGGCCAGAGATCTCTCCACTAAAAGCTGGAAGAACAAGGCCATTCAAAGGAGGGGGAGGCATCTGTTCCCAGGAATCCTTCCACCGGCTGGGAGAACCTCGGTCCCTCACAATAATGCCCTCTTAGGGTCTCTCTTCCCTCCCTCATTCCCTCTAAAAAGAGCAGATCTGCCCAGGACCCTGCTCACCCCAAGGGCTGCGGTGCGAGCCGGAGCCTCCCGTGGGCTGGGACAGAACCCCGAGATGCTGGGGAAAAGAGGCGGAGCCACAGAGGGGAGGTCAGCTTAGCCCCACCCCGACCAGGATCAGAGGCCCACAGGAGAAAGGGGCGGAGGCGAACGGGGCTAGGCAAACTCACTCCGCACAGGCTTCTCAGCGGGCCGTGGCCACCGCCAAAGCGAAAGACCAGGTTGGGGGGTTGGGAGGGGCGGAGCGGAGCTGCGCATGCGCCGGCGCCACTCTGGGAGGGGAAGCGAGCCGCAGCCCCTCCCCGGAAGTTAGGGGTCTTCCGGGCGGTACTCTACGGTGGGGGAGGGGAAGGGGAGAAAGGGGACAGAGGACAACTCAGGAGTCCCTCGTCCCAAAAAGGACTAGGAGAGGAGAGGTGGTTTGTGGAGGCTGCACTTACAGCCGCTGCCGCTGCCGCCGCCGCCACCTTCGCTGCTGCCGCCACCGCCTGAAGAAGCCCCATCCATCCGCCTGCAGCCGGGGAGACTCGGAGCCTGGGAGGGGCCTGGGGCCGGGGCCGCCCGCCTCCTTCTTCTAGTCGTCTCCCCAAGCTTCCTCTTGCTCCACCAACCCTCTGCCCTCCCCTCCGCCTCCGCCCTCCTCCTTGGCCTGCGGCCGCCAGCCAACCGCGCGGCCGCTTGTTGAGCCTGAGCTCCACCGTCTCCATGGCGCCCGGCAAACATTCGGGTGCTTCTGCCCCAGCCGCTAACGCCTGGGGTTGGGGTACAGGGACTCCAGAAACCGGCTGGGAAGGGGGTGATCGACCCCTTCCCAGCCAGTCGCCACCATGCCCACCTCTCCAGGAGGCAGCCGCAAGCAGCAGAACCTCGGAATGTAAGTTCCGGCGCTAAAACCTTAGTCCTTCCCTCTGGGTCGCGCAGGGAAGCAACCCTTTCAGAGCCTTTCTCCGGCTTCAGCTGGGCTCAGTCAGCAGCCCTCGAACCTTCCAGGCGGCAATGTCTCTCCTTCCTTGACCCAGTACAGCCTTTTTCAAACCTCCTGCTGTGCTTGCTCTATGAGAAAAGACCGACTTTGTTGAGAACCACCCTCCTAGCACTCCGTTTTTTCACTCTGCAGACTCAAGCTAGTTGCCTACACCCTGTGCCTACACGTGCAACCCTTTCAACTTCTGAGAGCGGTCTAACTGAACATTACTTTGCTCTGTAGTCGCGGGTTTCTTTTTCTGTCTCCTCCTCACTCCATCCTGCCTTAAAGCTCCTTCCTGCTTACAACATTCTTCTGTTCCTGCAACAGGTGAATAAGAGGCTGGCGAAAGCACACAGCTCCGAGGACTTGTCTTGCTGATAAGTTTAAGTGTTCCCTTAATGCTGCTCAGCAATGCCGCTAAAGCTCCCTGATTAGTTCACTCTCCCATATTTCCAGACCCCTTTTCTTCTCTCTCTTCAAATTTTGAACATCTCTTCCATCTCCTCCAGCTCAGCTAATTTTTCTTTAGCAGAACTTGTTGAAAGTTCTTGGGAGAGAACCTTCTGTTTTAGTAAAGGTCAACAACAGTAGCTGCCCAGCCATATTCAATGGCCATGTCTGTTCAATTCTTAACTCACCCATCAGCAGCTTTGATCTAGTTTATCACTTCTTGAATTTTCATTCACTACCTTTGGTTTCAGGGACACTACCACTCTTCCCTAGTTCTTCCCTTGGTTAATGGCTTCTTGTCAAAATACTTTGCTGTTACTTCTTCATTTCTCCGTGTTTAAATATTGGAGTGTTGTTGGGGTCAGTCTTTAAATGTCGTTTCTTCACCATTATGCCTTTAAAAATCACCTATACACTGATGATTCACAAGTTTATATATCTAGCCAGCACCTCTCCCAAGAAAACAGACTTTAAAAAATCAAACATCTGTACTTAGAAGTTAATAAGACATCTCAAAATTCATATCCAAAACTGAACTTAATTTTCTAACCAACTCTGTAGTGAAATGGCAATTTCTACTCTTTCTGTTAGTAAAAAACCTTGGAGTTACCCTTGACTTCTCTAAAATCCCACTCCATTAGCAGATTCTACCATCTCTATCTGCAAAATAAGTCCAGACTACCACTCCAATGTAAGTCACTGTAACACTGCAGTAACCACATAAATGGCCTTGCCAACATCCTCAACATAGTAATGGCTGTGGCTCTTCTCAAAACCTTCCTCTGCCTCTACCTCCCATTTCACTCTGAGTTAAAGCTCACTACTTACATTGCCTTACAGTATTTCACCTTGGACTCTTCCTCTTGACTAGTTACACTGACTATTGTTCTAAATAATATGAGGCACATTATTTTCCCACTTCAAGATGTATGTTTTTGCCCTGGCTAGTTTGCTCAGTGCTTAGATCACCGGCCCCCAGACTGAAGGGTCTCAGGTTCGGTTCCAGTCAAGGACATGAACCTGGGTTGCAGGCTGAATCCCCTGCCCCAGTAGGAGGTGTGTAGGAGGCAACCAATCGATGTCTCATTCACATCAATGTTTCTCTCTCTCTCCCTTTCACTCTCTCTGAAAAGCAAAGGAAAAAATATCCTCGGGTAAGGATAAAAAAAGAAAAAAGATGTACTTGCTGTCTTTTGGAATATTGTACCCCTAGATGACCCCATGACTCACTCATTTCCTTTAGCTGTCACCTTATCAAAGAATTCTCTAACCACCCCACATATATATAACAATACTTCCTCCTTATCTACACTGCTTTATTTTTCTCTGTGAAACTTACCCCTACTTGGTATACTCTGTTTGTTAATCTGTCTTCACCCAAGCTATGGAAAAATAGGAAGTGATGGTTGACCTGCTATGAACATGGGAGTAATTAGCTGACATAGCAAGGATGACAATATCATTTATGCGAGAAGACTTCAAGGAACTAAGAAACCATAGTATTAGCAGGATTACCTTCATAGGTATTGAAATACTCAGAGTCAGTAATTCAGGATATAAAATCTTTAAGGGATGGGAGAAAGGAAATAGTGATGATGATGTAGATTACCATAAGGAAGTGGAATATAAGTAGTCATGTAATCCATGTGTTTTGTTATATTTACTCAGGAGTAGTGTGTATAGTGTGAAGACAGATAACTGAGGTTTGAGCCTCAGTGTAATCCTCAAAATAGGAAACTAATAAAGGAAAAATAGAATGGGAAGACTGGATTTTGTAACGATGAGAGGGCAAATGTCAAGGAGAAAGAAAATAAGAGTTGAAGATTATGTTAAAAGAGTGATTCCAGCCCGGCCGGGCATGGCAGTTGAGTGTTGGCCTAGGATCCAGGAGATTGCAGTTCGATTCCCGGTCAGGGCACATGCCCGGGTTGCGGGCTCGATCCCCAGTTGGGGGCATGCGGGAGGCAGCCCATCAATGACGACTTTCTCATCATTGATGTTTCAACTATCTCTCTCTCTCCTTTCCTCTCTCTGAAATCAACAAAAATATATATATGTGTGTGTGTGTGTGTATATATATATATATATAAAAGTAAGTCCATTGATGAATTGCGTATTCTGGATTGAGTAGAGAAAGAAGAGAAACCTAAAAGGTACTAGTTGGTAGAAAATGGAAGGGTCAGGTGACTGGAGGCCCCAAAGAAGTTGAAGAAGGGGGAATGGTCAACTGTCAGATGCTGCAAAGATAAGTACTGAAAAAGTCCCTTGGATTTCAGTTTGGAGGACTAGGTGATTTTAATGAAAATAGTTTCTGTGCAGTAGGAGAGGAGAGGAAAAAGTAGAACTGGATTGTAGTGAATTATGAAGCAAATGAGTAACGAAGTAGCCAGTATAACTGTCTAGTATTTTAAGAAGTTAGACTATGAAAGGAAGGAGAAATACAGTAAATAGATAGAGGAAGACATAGCTAAAGGAAAGATTTTTAAATTAGGGGATGACTGGGGCATAATTATATGCCAAGGGGAAAAGATAGGAAATAAGATATAGGAGACAGGGAATTATTGATGGAGAAGTGTCCCTGAGACAGTAGTAAGACATTTCAAAGCATAGGTAGAAAGATAGCCTTAGATAAGAATGGCAACTCTTCTACTGAAAGAGAAAGAAATAAATAAAGATGGGTTTATATGAGTTTGTAAGATGTGGAAGAAGAATTTAATGAAGGTGGAGAAATAATTTAAAGAGTTTTTACCTGATTGGTCATTTTTATTTTCTTAGCGGTGTTGGAGGTAAAGTTGTTTAGAGGCTGAAGTAGGGAGGATAAGGTGGAATACTTAAAAACAATGCAGCATGAATGGAACTTAGTTACTTCAAAAAATACTTGTGCCCACAGTATACTGGGCACTGTCCTGGGTATTAGGGACGTAGCAGTGAACAAGACAAAGTTCTTGCCTTAAACATGGTTATATTCTAGCAGAGGAGTGGACAACAACAAAGTGTCAAGGAGTAATAAATGCTGTGAATAAAATATGAAAAGTGGATTGATGTCATTTACAAATATTTTATTGTAGTCTGATCTTTTATGATTTGAAAAGTAACACTATCATTAAAAACACTTTCTTTGGAAATATATTTCCTTTTTAAAGTCTAAGGGCAAATTATCCTTATTTTATAGAAATCCACAGTACAATCAGAATACTAGAATGAATGAATGATAAGGTAGGTTTTTGTCCTAATGAATTTACAGAGTAGATCCAAAAGTGAAATCATATTTTTACTTCAGGATATAAACATTTTGATTATGACTTTATAACTTTTCTTCTTATTAAAAATTATTATGTAATTGCTTAGGCAAGAAATGATATTCTTTCCCAGGTTTATACTCATGCTTTAATCTGCCTATGTAAGTGCACTCTACACTCATTTGTACTTACTACATGTTAGATACTTCCTAACCATAATATATAAATTAATTCTTTTAATCCTCAAATAACCTATGAATTAGATACTATTATTATCCCTATTATACAGATAAGGAAACAGACCCAGAGGAATCAATGTGAAATTTGGATCTTACTGCCTGGGTTTAAATTTCAACTCTAGTAGAAATGTTTCCCTTTAAACTTCTGTGATTTCATATAAATAATAGTAATAGCAACCTCTTAAGAGTTGTGCGGAAATATTGACATAATGCATGTAAACATTCTAGAACTGTGCTTACCCCTGATGAGCTCTTAAGTATTATTACTATTTCTTATTTATATGTCTAGATTGTTTTCATGTTTCTAAATGAAAGTCTTTTTATCGTTGGTTAATTTTTCTTCAATTGTGGGTCCTCTGTATTGTTTTCTTTTCCTGGTATAGGAGCGTTGGCCTTCAGCCAAGGAGGTCTGTTATTGGCTTTACCAACCCAGTAAAAGGAGCTCAAATGAAAGCATATAGTAGTTCAAACCAAAGCAGAATGGGTATGTCAAAAAACATGATGATTCTACCGGAAGTGAAAATATCAGAAAGAATGAATATTCCCATGACAAAGACAGTCACACAGGTAATATTCTTTAGTATTCTGAGTTTATTTGAAAATGACACCTTGAAGAACTTGATGAAATGTTAAAGGTAGAAAATATGATGCTTTGAAATAATCACTCCTAATACTGATATGTTGATTTTATTAGTCTTTACCACATAACATATCTTACAGTATAATATTGGCAGTTGCCTCCTATAATTTATTATTGATAATAATATTAGAGTGGAATGAGAAAAATTTCCTCATGACCTTAATAACTAGTTGGTTATGATATTAATTGTAACTAATCTAGCTATAATACAGATAGTACAGTTTTCATCCCCTCTTTGCAGCATTCTCTAGAAAATATCATGAAATGAATTGTCATAAAATAGGTTATCTCAATAGAGGACTATTAAGAATTGCCTTTTAAAACTTTTAAACAAAGTATAACATGTATATATATATGTTTGTTATGTATATATAAAACATGTACTTTGTTATAACAGCTTGTTATACAGAAAAGTTTATAATATATAAATCTGAATGGGCTAGGCAATGATTTTTTAGATATGACACCAAAAACACAGTCCATTAAAGATAAAATTGATAAACTGGACTTCATCATAATGAAAACTTCTGGTCTTTAAAAGACACTGCTAAGAGAATGGAAAGAAAAGCCACACAATGGGAAAAGTTATTTACAAAGCCTATATCTGATAAAGTAGTTACCAAAATATATAAACAGTGCCCAAAACAATATTAAGACAACCTCATTTTAAAAAGAGTGAAACATTTGAATAAACTTCACCAAAGGACATATTCAGATGGCAAATGAGCACATTAGAGATGATCAGTATTAATCATTAGGGAAATGCAAAGTAAAACCGTGAGATATTGCTAAACACCTATTTTGGAATGACTAAAATTAAAAGACTGATCATTCCAAATGTTGGCAAGTATATGAAACAACTAGAACTCTCTTATGAAAAATGAAAAACAATTTGACAGTTTATTAAATGTCACATATATAGCTACTATAGTATTCAGCCATTCCACTTCTAGGTATTTACCCAAGAGAAAAGAAAGTATAGGTTTATACAAAGACTAGTACCTGGAATGTTCATAGCAACTTTATTTATAATAGCCAAAAAATGGAAACAACCCTATACATTTTTAATAAATTAATATATTACATGTACCATCATCTTAGTCCGGGCTGTTATGCCAAAGCACCATGGAGTGGCTGGCCTATAAACAAAGAAATGTATTTCTCACACTTATGGCAGTCCAAGATTAGAGTGCCAGTATGATGAGGTTCTGGTGAGGACCCACTATCAGGTTGCAGACTGCCACCTTCTCATTGTATCTTTGTCGGGCTGAAAGAGATTTAGCTAGTTCTCTTGGCCTCTTCTTAGAAGGGCACTAATCTCATTCATGAGGCTCCAACTTCATTACCTAATTGCCTCTCAAAGATTCCATGTCCCAATACCATCTCATTGGGATTAGGGTTCCAACATGAATTTTGGGAGTATACAAATATTTACTTCATAACAACAATATACAGATTGTGTACACATTTATATACATTATGTATATATTATACATTCATACATATATAACATACATATTACATAGGATTAGCAATACTTCATAAAAGGGATAATCAGTCATGACCAAATAGGGATAATGAATGCAAGGTTGTTCCAACATTTAAAAATCATTACTACTTGCCATATTAATAGACACACAAAAAAATAAAAAACACATAAAGGAAAAGCATTTAGGAAAAATTCAATATCCATTCATGATTTTTTTTTTAATTTTTTTCTTTAATGTTTTGACTAACTTGAAAGAGAAAGTATTTCCTGAGTGACATTCTGTAAAACCTACAGCTAACATCATACACAATGATGAAATAAAGAAACAGGACAAGGATGCCCGCTTTTGCCACTTTATTCAACCTCATAATGGGCGTTGTTGCCAGAGCAATTAGGCAAGAAAAAGACATAAAAGTCATTTAAAGTAGAAAAGAAGAAGTAAAATTATCTCAGTTCGCATGATCTTATATATAGAAAACATGATGCTGTGATCTTATATATAGAAAACCTAATGATTTCACATTTAAAAAAATTTTTCAGAAAAGTAGGATAGGAAATTAACACAAAAATCAGTTGCATTTCTGTACACTGAGCAATGAACACTCCCAAAAGAAAATTAAGAAAAAGATACCCATTTACAATAACATCAAAAATAATAAAGTACTTAGGAATAAAGAACGGAGGTGAAAGCTTTGTATACTGATAACTACAGAAATTGCTGAAAGAAATAAAAGAAGACAATAATAAATGAGAAAAAAATCCCTTGTTCATGGGTTGGAAGACTTAATATTGTTAAGATGTCAATACTACCCAAAGCGATCCACAGATTCAATGCAACCCTTATCAAATTTCAATGACATTTTTTACAGAAATAAAAAATTCATCCTAAAATTTATATGGAATAGCAAAGGAACCCAAGTAGCCAAAACAATCATGAAAAAGAGAACAAAATTGGAGGTCTCATACTTCCTAATTTAAAAACATACAGTATAGTACTGACATTAAAAAAAAAGAAATATAAACCAATGAAATAGAATGTAGGGCCCAGGAATAAACCCTCAATATGTGTCAAATGCTTTTCAACAAGACTGCCAAGACTATGCAATGGGGAAGAATGGTCTTTTCCATGAATGTGTTGGTAAAACTGGATATCTACACGAAAAGAATGAGGTAGGACTCTTATCTCACACCCTATACAAAAGTAACACTGCACTCTAGACTGCTTGAGGCCAAGAACACAACTCCCTCTCCGCTCACCTCCCAGCTGATGACTTACTTTCCCAGAAGCAGAACCTTAGTGATTCTCATCCAGCCCCATTGCTGAGGCTAAATCCTGTGGTTGAGAAGTGTGGATTTTTTTTCTTCTGCCTAATCCCCACTGATGAGGTCAACCTTGAATATGACATCCTGAGAATATTGGGTCCTCTGGTTCAAGAGATTATGGTTCCTTATCAGGAGATCTAAGCTGAGAAGACCTCAGGTTACTGCTCCACCCCCTCCATGTTGTCACTCATAGGGAAGTTTAACATTGTCCCCACTCACATTACAGGGACCTGATGGAGAGATTTAATCGGGGGGAAGAAGCAAGGTGTAAAACAGCCCCTAATATCTTCTGAAAGTAACCAACTTTATTTTCAACAGAGCATGAAGTTTAAACCCAAGAGTACCCTAAAAAACAGTGGAGGTTATGGTAGGAGGCAATTGGGAGATTTGTGGATCTAGTGAAGATATACATTAGATTGTAGGCTGTCTAGTTTACAGGGAACCAGGGAATAACAACAGCTGGAAGGGGTCTTTTGTAGTGAGAACAGATATCAAAGATTGACCTAAAAAATGACTGCCATGCACTGCATAACAATGTTTTGTTCAATGATGAACCACATATACTACAGTGGTCCCAGAAGATTATAGGGGAGCTGAATAATTTCTGTCACCTAGGGATGTCATAGCTATCATAATGTCTGAGTGCAACACATTACTCACATGCTCGTATTGATGCTAGATTAGACAGACCTATGTCTATACTTTTATATGATTAGTCATATACTTTTATATGATTAGTCATATACTTTTATATGACTAATCATATAAAAGTATAGCACATACAGTTGTGTACAGTATGTAACACTTGATAACAACTATGTTACTGATTTATGTATTTACTATACTATACTTTTTGTTATTTTAGAGACGCCTCAAAAAAAAAAAAAAGCTACCCCGTGATCCAGCAGTTTCACTTCTGGGTATTTATCTGAAGAAAGTAAAAACACTAATTGAAAAAGAAATATGCATCCCCATGTTTATTGCAGCATTACTGGTAATAGCCAAGGAAACAACCTAGATGCCCATCAATAGGTAAATGGATAAAGGAATATTATTTGGCAATAAAAAGGAATGAAATCTTGCCATATGTGACAACATGGATGGGCCTAGAGGGTATTATGCTAAGTGAAAAGTCAGAGAAAGGCAATACTGGATGATTTTACTCATGTGGAGTTTATAAAACCATGAATAAACAACAAAAGGAATACAATTATAAATCAATAACAGGAAAAAACTGTGAAACTCATAAGTATGTATAAATCAGGCAACACACTCCTAAATATTCAATGAGTCAAAGGAAAATCAAAAGGAAATAGAAAATATTTTACGATGATTGATAATTAAGAAGATACAATATAACAAAACTTATGGGGTACAGTTAAAGCAGTGCTTAGAGGGAAATTTATACATGTAAATGCCCACATTATAAAGAAGATAAGTCTAGAATCAGTAGCATAAATTTCCACTTTAAGAAACTGGGAAGAAGAAAAAACAACAACAAAAAGGAAGCAGAAAGAAGGAAATAATATAGATTAGAAATTAATGAAATATTGAATAAAAAACAATAGAATCAGTGAAACCAAAAGCTGGTTCTTTGATAAGATCAGCAAAAATTGACAATCATGTATCCTGCTTCACCACAAAAAAGAGACTCAAAGTACTAAAATCAGAAATGAGTGTTCATTACCACCAACCTTACAGAAATAAAAAGGATTATAAAGGAATACTATAATAAATTGCATGCCAAGAAATAAAATGACTTATGTAAGATAGACACATTCCTAAAAATACACAAACTGCCCTGCTCAGGGCACATGCCTGGGTTGCAGGCTGGATCCCTAGTAGGGGGCCTACAGGAGGCAACCAACGAATGTTTCTCATCATTGATACTTCTCTTTCTCCCTCTCCCTCCCTCTCTCTGGAAAGCAATGGAAAAATATCCTCAAGTGAGGATTAAAAAAATTTTTTTAAATAAAAATAAAAGATAGTGCATATTGTCTGTAAATTTATTCCAATTTTAAATTTTGAAAATTAAGATAAAATGGAAAAATTCTTTCAAAACATGCATTTTACTGAGACGAAAAATTGAAAATTGTAATCTATTAAAGAAAGTAATATGAATAATTTAAAAACCTTCCTTTAAAGTAATTCTAGGCCCAGATGGTTTTTCTCTAGTGATATGTGCTAAACATATATGGATGAAAACAGAAATAGAAAAGTGGATATACTCCAAAACTCATTTTATGAGGCTAGTCTTATCTTGATATTAAAAGCCAACAACAATATGAGAAACATTATAAGCCAATCTCATTTGAGTTTCCAACATAGATGGAGAAATCCTCAATAAAATATTAGCAAAATTCAATATCAATAAAAAGAGATAATACATTATGAGGAGGTTGAGTGTATACCAAAATACTAAGATAGGTTTAATGTTTAAAAATTCATTAGTGTAATTTACCATAATGACATTTAAAAGGAAAAAAGCATATGATTATCTAAATACAGATAGAAAGTATTTGATAAGATTAAATATTATTTAAAGGATTCTTATGAAACTGGAAATCACAAGGATCTTTCTTAATCTGATTTCTTATCTATAAAAATCATACAGCAATGATTATATTTAATAGTGAGGCATTTCTAAGAAGGATCCACTTCTATCCAACATTTTTGGAAGCCTCAGCCAGTTCAGTATGAGAAGAAAAAGAAATGCAAAGAATAAGAATTAGAAATGAAGAAACAAAATGTTGAATATTTGTAGATGACACAATAGTCTACATATAAAATTGAAAATAACCTACTGATAATTATCAAAATAGTAAGAGTTTAAGCAAGGTTATTGGATATCAAATCAAACAAGCAACACATGACATATGTATACCAGCAACAAATGATTTTAAAATTACATCTTTTTAAGTGATACCATTTATAATAGCATTAAATGCATCATGTACTTTTGAATAAATATAACAAAAGATGTAAATATCTGTATTTTTAAAATTTTAATATTTTACTGGAGGATATTAAAGGAGATACAAATGAAGAGATAGGTCATGTTTATGCATAGAAAGATTGTACACGTATCAGTTATACTCAAATTTTGACATATAGATTCTTTGCAATTTCAGTCAAAATCTCAGAAGTTTTTTTTTCATGATATGTTTTTCAGGAACTTGTCTAGGTAATTCTAAAATTTGTATGAAACTGCTAAAGCCTAAGAATAGCCAAGACACTCTTGATTAAGAACTTGGTGGAAAGATTTACCCTCTCAGATACCAAGTTTAATAACAAGGGTGACATTAGCAAAGGGATGGGCAGAGAGCCTACAAGTGACTCAAGCACATATAAACACTTGTTTTATAACAAATGTGATCAGGACTTTACTCCACATTCTCAACGACTAGCACTGTCAGATTTATAAATTTAAGCCAGTCTGGTATGTGTATACAGATACCTCATTTTGATCTTAATTTCCATAAGGTTGAGTTTCTTTTCATATAATTACTCCCATTTTAATTCTTTTTTTGCCTTCCGCATCTTATACACAAAACCCAATTCCAGTTATACTGTAGATCTAAACATGAAAAGCAACAGAAAAACATCTTCATAACTCCAGGATTGGAAATGTTTTTTAAACGAGACATCTAAAGCATAAACCATAAAGGAAAATGTGATAAATTTGACTACTTTAAGATTAAGCACTTCTATTTATTAAAAATTATCACAAAGAAAATGAAGCTACAGAGTGAAAGAAGACATCTGCAACACATAAAACTGAAAGGATTCATATTTGGAATATATAATGAACTCCCATTATCAATTTTAAAAAAAAGAAAAGTCTGCAAAAGACCGGTATGGGACATTTTTCTCCCCCCCCCCCAAAAAAAAAGAATTAAAATGGGAGTAATTATATGAAAAGAAACTCAGCTTTATGGAAATTAAGATCAAAATGAGATATCTGTATACACATACCAGACTGGCTTAAATTTATAAATCTGACAGTGCTAGTTGTTGAGAATGTGGAGTAATAGCAGTTGTCACACAATGCTGGTAATCGTAAAAATTTTTACAACCAATTTGGGGAATAGTTAGGTGTAATTTAATCAGGTTGACCCATCAAATGCACATTTATACATCCCCTACAGAATTGCATTCTCATGTGTATCAGTATACTTTTACGTAAATGTTCATTAAAACAGTTTTCATGATGCCCCAAACCTAGAAACAACTTAATGTCTAGTCAAAGTAAAATGGAAAAATAATATATGATATACTAATCCAACAGATTAGTTTATAGTCACCAGTAAATGAACAAACCTCTTCTGTACATGGAGAAATATAAAAATGTTGAACAAAAGATGACAGAGTATCAGTCATAATATATGACTATATAAATTTTAAAAACAGGCAAAACTAAATTACATTGACAAACATGGTAAATACTGGGATTTTGCTTGCAAAAATCTGGAGCAACCAGAACTCTCATACATTGTTGGTGGGAACCACTTGCAAAAACGTTAGCAGTGCTATTAAAGATGAACATATACATAATTCATTACCCAGAAATTTCACTCTCAGGTACATATCCAACATAAATTCATACAGCATATTCAGCAAAATACGTACAACAGTATTCATAGCAGCACCATTTGTAAGAGCCAGAATATTGGAAACCACAGAAATGTCCATGAACGATAGAATAGGTAAATAAAATTGTGACATATTCACACAATGGAATAGTGTAAACAGTGAAAATGAATCATCTACAACTATACTTGATAATATGAATGAATCTCACAAATATAATATTGAACAAAAGAAACCAGATACCAAAGGGAAATATAGTATGATTCCATCTAAATAAAGTTTAAAAACAGGCAAAATTAATCCATGGTATCAGAGTAATTATTACCTTTGGTGGGAGATAGTATCCCTCATGAAAGGAGTTTCCGGGATTCTGTAATTTTCTGTTTCTAAACCTGAATACTGGGTCCATGGGTGTGTTCAGTTGGTGAAAATGCATTAAGCTGTACATTTATATGTGTACTTTCTATATGCATATTTTACTTCGATACAATATATAAAAAGTAAATGCTGTTGTTTAAGAATGCATGCTTAATAAAACTATAAAAAGAAGAAAGGAAATGACTAGCAAAATCAAGTTAATAATTACCACTGGGAGGAGTGAATGGCTGAAATCCAGAAGGGGCAAAGGCTAGGGGCACTAGCTGTGATCCAGAGAGGCAAAGTCTTCTGGAGGTGCTATCAATGTTCTAATTTTTTTAGTTGTGATTATTGTAATACTTGCCTTATATTAACTGTATGGTTTTGTTTTAATTACAATTCTGTATATGCTAAATTTCAAATTGAAAAAATGAAAAGCTAGCCAAAAACAAACCGAGAATACAGGGTGGGACAAAAGTAAGTTTACAGTTGTTCATATGGAAAATAATACAATAATTAATAAACAATAATGCAAGAATAAATGCTGTGTTCCCCTCCCTCCATATGTAATCTGGAAATGATTATTAATGTGAAAAGTAAGTTTTTAAAAAGCTATACACAAAAAAATAAATATACAAAAATAATCTGGATGAATAATAATCTTTCTGAAGTTTTTCAAAGTTAGTATATATTGCTTGTACATAGGTGAAACATAAGACTTAAAAACGTATGCCTACTTAAGAAACTTTTTAAGCATAAAATCTTTTATTGATCAATTTTTCATGTTTATTCTATCCTAGAAACATTATGCTTATCTTTTTTCCCCTACTGCTTTTATTTCTAATTTATAGGACTAATTATTTAGAAACCTCATCTTTTGAACTTATTTCATTTTATATTACACTTCCCACAGGTGTTTGATGTAAATGGAGTTGATGTTACTCCTCGGCCTCTTTACCGTCCAGATCCACTTACTGGTACAGCAAAGCCAAATAAACTATTGACATCACAGGAAGGATCATTTGCATCAGAATATGTAACTTCCCACAGCCTTTATCAAAATACACTAAATCCTAGTATGTTAGGGCAGTTTACAAGGTAGAGTATACTATTTTATATATTTTTTTATATCATATATACTGTTTTTCCATTAAGTTGCATATATGTAACTTAGATGCCCATTGTCTCCAGTCTCCCGCCTCCGCTCTGTCATGCTAATGTGCCATCCTTATGCTCTTCTCATAATTAATTTTAATTAGATGTAGAACTTTGCATGGCTTAAGTTCCCCTGCTCTCACACCAAAACATTTGTGAAAAAATATATAAATTTTACTGTATTTCCTGAAAAACCAAAAGAGGGGGCCATATTACATGCCCACAGACATATTTATTCAGTTTCTTTTTTGTGCTGCAATTTCTGGGAAAGAGTGGCTTTCCCCCACCCCCATTTTCCCATGCAAATCCTGTTCTCTCAGGGTTTGGTTTCTCCTATTATATAATTTTCCTTTTTGTAAATGAAATGTTATGCATCTATTACATAGATACTAATGTACTTGAAATTTGTTTTTGTACTTGAAATTTTATGAATGCTTATAGTAGAGAAGTTCAGAGTCTTTGCAATAATAAAACAGTATACATCCTAAAACAATGTAAAGATTATGGCGAAATATTTGAGTGTGTAATTTTCAATCTGACAAAAGTTCCAGATGTTAACTAAGCATGAGATTTAGGGGGGGGGAATGCTGCTCTAGAGTATCCATGGGAGTGCTAAGCGAAACAATGGATATTCCGGTAAACTTAACCCACCCTCAGGGAGTGCAGTTGGGACCATAAATAGAAAGGAAGAAAGCACTTGATATCATGGAGTAATTTTAAGTTCATATATTTGAGGAAATTATTTTGGGATTCTTTAGTATTGATTTTCCATTGAGTACACAGATTTTCTTTTAAGTAAATCTAGGGAGGATCCTTATCAAATTGAGTAAGTCACAGTTAAGATGAGATTTGAATGATGAGCAGCAACCTGGTGACACATGAAAGGAAGGGTGTTCTAGGCTGAAGTCTTGAAGGAGGAAAGCTCTACAAGATTGAGGAACTTAAAAGAAAGAAGAGGGGAAGGAAAGAGTGATACTGAAGGTGGGGTCTAGGTAGGTAGGCTGTACTTTTGGGTCTTTACCCTAAATATATTGGGAATCCATTGAAGGACTTCAGGCATAGTTTTGACATGTCTCATCTCTAAAATATATTTAAAATGACTTCTTAAAGAATATTAAAAATCACGATGTTTGAAGAACTAATTTTTATCAATTTTGCTTATGTATAATTGATTTCTCAATCTGATTTTTTCATTTGTATATTTAATTATCCATATTGACATCTAAATAAACGAATAATGTTATTATTAAAGATCAGTTTTAGGAAGCAGTACAGTTTCTAAGTCAAGTCTATCAACTAGTGAATCAACAGCAGAAGAAATAGAAGAACAACCCTATAAACGGGAAGGACTGACAAGTTTTACAGGTAATGAAAATACAGCTGTTTATCAGTAGCAGACCATTATATTTCTTTAGCAGATATGCTCATTATTTGTTAGATACTTAAGATAAAAGAACTGTGGTAATGATTCCCAAATGCTGGTGTGTACAGTAGCCACATGAATATTACCAGAGTAATAACTACCCATATGTTTCTAGAAGTTCCCGAGGTGACTGTTCCTATATCACCAGCTTGAGGAATCACAGACCATGTTTTTTTGTTTGTTTTTTTTTTAAAGAACTCAGCTTTTTACTCAGGAGACAAATAATCCTGATACATTGTGATCAATGCTATACTAAGACATATGCAGAATGTGATGGGAGTACTTAGAAAGGAAAGATTAACTCCTTTGAGGTAAGAAAAAGAGAAAATGTTCACAGAGAACGTCACTGACTTTTTTGAATTGGGTTTTTAAAGATAACGGTAATTTGTCAGAATGAAGGGGAGAGGCCCACTCCAAGCCAAGGAGAAACCATGAGGTAGTGCAAAGGATTTTGAAAGTGAAGATAAAACAATGACGAAATAATGGTTGGTTAGAAGCACCAGAAGAAATGAGTACCTACTTGAGGGGTATTTGCATTAAGAGCACAGTAAGGATGCTTTTCCCTCTAAGATGATAATGAAGGATTAGTGAAAATATTGATACAGTTGGAAAAGTGCTTGATGGAATCCTCTTTTTTGGTGATGGACTCACATTTTCGGTGCAATAGGCATGCATCTGACAACAAGTAACAGAATTCCTAACTACCATTAGCTTAAACAAAGTCTTATTTTTCTCACATTAAAAGAAGTTAAGAGGTAGCTAACTTTTGGCCTTGGTTTTGTGACTTAATTATGCCAGACTCTGGTATGGCAGCTTCACTCTTCTCTTTCCCTAAGCCCTTTCTTCTTGCTTCGTGGACTCAAAATATTCACCCCACCTCTTGGGCATTATATCCACGTAAGAGGCAGGAGAAGGAGAAAGGCCGTTGCCCCAGTCACATCTCCCTCATCAGGAAAGAAAAGCTTCCCCAGAAGACTTTTCTTCTTGTTTATTTTTGCTTTTATCTTTTTGGCCAGAAATGTGCCACATGGTCACCCCTAGCTTCAAGAGAGTGTTGGAAAACTAAATAGTTGATGTCCCCACCTCTCTGTTGTTATATATATGGAGAGAGGCAAAGTAAGGGAGAAAGAATTAGCGAAGAATTTTAGGCAATCAACAATCTGTCCCAGGAGTGAAACTCACCCTCTCAGAGGGAGACCAAGAGGATTGGATTATTGTCATGACTGTCTCCAGCCCTCTCTACAGATCTTCTTGCCACCTCCAGTTTGTTTTTCCAAACTGTATTCAGAATGATCTGTTTAAAAACACAATCTGATCACTCTCGCCAGCTTAAAAACCCTTCCATGGATTTGCATTGTTCTTAAGATAAGAACTAAAATCTTTATAAAAATGATTTGCCTAAGACTTTCCTCTGCTTGTCTACATCAAAAACAAACAGACGTGACACAGCCTCACCCTGGAAGCCTTGAAGAATGATACAGATGTTTATGTGGTCTTGGCCAGGTGCTGGTGAAGCTAGTCTCTAAAGTGAATTACACCTAAACAATTCTACTGCCACATAGCTGATTATTTAGACTAGAGCAGTGTTTCTTAATCTTAAATGCACATTAACATCATCTGGTATACCTCTTAAAATTCCCCTAGTAAAGTCTTATTTCAGCCCTATTAAATTGGAATATCTGGGAGTGGGGGTTAGACATAAATAGTGGTGTGCTGATATGTGTAAACCTATCTCCTCTGAGGTAGGAAAAAAATAGATATAATTTTGATTCATTCACATCACACGGCCATTGTTGTGCTGGATGTTATCATTTTTTAATTTGACAGTCTCAGGGAAAAGAGGTCAGTGCCCTTGACTAAATAGTCAGGTATTGCATGTGTTAAAAATTCTTGTGGTTCCCCAGTGTGCTGTGGCATAAGGGTTGAAAATCGCTGATATAGTTTGTTCTGGAAAATAGGTAAAGAGGAAACATTCACCAGCTCATTTTATGAGATAGCATTACCCTAATACTAAAACTAGATAAAGACATAAGAAAATTATAGACCAATAACTCTCATGGAACATAAATGCAAAAAAAAATCTTAAAAAATAATATTGGAAAACAAAATCTAGCAATTTATAAAGGAGATAGTACATCTCACCAAATAGAGCCCATTTCAAGAATATAAGGCTGGTTCAACACTTATAATTTTTTTAATGTAATTTATCATTAAAAGACTGAATAAGAAAAACCATATGATCTATCAGTAGATGCAGAAAAAGTACTTGATGAAAAAATAATATCTATTCATAATTTTTAAAAACTTTAAAAACAAGAGCTGGAAGGAACTTTCTTAAGCTAATAAAGGAAATATACAAAAACCTAAGTCAAAGGTACAAATTTCCAGTTATAAAAGGAATGAGTCATGGTGATATAATATACAGCATGGTGACTGTAGTTAATAATACTGTGTTGCATATTTGAAAGTAGCTGGGAGAGTGGAGCTAAAATCTGTAACTGTATGGTGATGAATATTAACTGGACTTACTGTGGTGATCATTTTGCAGTATATGCAAATATTGAATCATTACATTATACACCTGAAACTAATATAACGTTATGTCAGTTGTATCTCAAAAAAGACCCTAGGGCACATATTTAATGATGAGAGGCTGAATGTTTCCCCACTGAGATCCAGAATAAGGGAAGGATATCTTCTCTCACAAGTCCTATTCAACACTGTATTGGAAGTCCTCCATAGTTTAACAAGATAAGAAAAATAAAATTTATATACATTGGAAAGGAAAAAATACAACTGTATACTTGCAGATGACATGATTGTCTATGTAGAAAATGCTAAAGAGTCTACAAAAAATAAAAATTCCTGGCACCAATAAGCTTATATCCTGCAATGTTGCAGGATAATATATAAAAGCAAATTACTTTTCTGTATACCATCAATGAACAACTTGAATTTGAAATTTTCAAAAACAATACCATTTATAGTAGAGCAGAATAAAAGAGGTATAAACCCAACAAAATATGGACCAAATCTGTATGCAAAACCTGCAAAAGAGGGAAGAAAGGAATTAAAAAGATCTAAATAAATTGAGAGGTATTCTCTATTTGTGCATTGGCGTTTGATATTGTTTAGATGTCAGTTCTTCATAATTTGATGTATAGATTCAATACAATCTCTATCGAAATCCCAGCAAGATTTTTTACATATATCAACTAACTGATTCTATAACTTCTATAGACATAAAGGCAAAGCACCTAGAATAGCCAACACAACCCTGAAAAAAAAAGGGACAAATTTGAAGGACTCAAGTTACCTAAGTTCAAGAGTAAGTGTAAAGCTACCATCATCAAGACAGCATACTGGTAAAACAGTAAACACTGATCAACGAAACAGAATAGAGAGCCCAAAAATAGACCCACAGTAGTATAATCAACTGATCTTTGGTAAAGGCACAAAGGCACTTCAATAGAGGAAGGCTTATCTTTTCAATGACTGTGATGGAACAATTGTAGGTCAAAATGCAAAAAAAATAAAAGAACATAAACACTGACCTTACACCTTACGCAAAAATTAACTCTAAATAAATCATAAACCTAAATGTAAAATGAAAAGTATAAAATTTCTAGAAGAAAATATCAAAATATTCTGTGATTTTTAGATTGGTGATGAGATTTTAGATATTATACCAGTAGCATAATCCATGCAAGAAAAAAATTGATTGGTTGGGCTTTATTAAAATTAAAATTTTTTACTGTGTAAAAGGCAGTGTTAAGTGGATGAAAAGGCAAGCCACATACTGGGAGAAAATATTAGAAAATTACATATATGATAACTTGTATAAAAATAAAAAAAGAGTAGAACAAAGATTTTACAAAAAAATATATGTATGGCAGATAAGCATATGTAAAGATACTCAGCTTTATTTGTAGTTAGGGAATTGCAAATTAAACAATAAGATATCACTACACACCCATTAAAATGACTAAAATCAAAAAAACTGACAATACCAATTGCTAGCAAGGATAAGAAGCAATAGGAACTCTAAGTCATTACTGATGGGAATGCAAATGGCACAACAAATTTGAAAGACAATTTGGCGGTTTCTTATAAAGCTAAATATAGTATTACCATATAATCCAGCAGTTCCACTCCTAAGGATTCAACTGATTTGAAAACATATCCACATGAAAATCTGCACTCCAATGTTTCTAGCCCCTTAATCATAATCACAAAATATTGGAATCAGTCAAGATGTCCTTTAATAGGCGAATGGATAAATGAACAATAGTACATGTATACAATGGAATATTCAGCAATTAAAATAAATGAGCTATAAAACTGCACAACAGTATGGATGAATCTTAAATACTTATTGCTGAGTCAAGTAAGCCAGTCTGAAAAGTCTCGTGTGTAGCATTGCATAATTCCATGTATATGATATTCTGGAAAATGCAAAAGTAAAGAAACAGAAAATACATCACTGGTTGCCAGGGGCTTGGAGAGGGCAGGGGGTTGAATAGGTGAAACAGTGGATTTTTCAGGAGGGTGAAACTATTCTGTATGATATTGTAGTGGTGGATATGTAAAAGTATACATTTATAAATTCTAGAATCTTACAGCACAAAAGTGAACTTTAATATATCTACATTAAGAAATGAAGAAGCTAAAGGACCTTTGAATGGAATACAAACTGTGACATCAGAATATAACTTACAAATGTATGACATCACCTCACTGAAAGAGTGGTGGTGGTTGAGGGGGGAAGGTGTAGACCTAAATGATATTGATATTGAGTAGATTGTGTAAGATTTAAAACATGGAACTGCACATAAAACAGTGTACTCTAGTTGATAAAGTCATTTTTCAAGGGCGTATAGGTAAACAATTCTGAACCGTTGTATACTAGGTTTGAACATGTAAACAAATGGAAGGCAGATGGCGGGAAGCAGATTTTACACTGTTGTTGGAATGGGAGATGACCATAAAACAAAGGGAGGTTAGAATTATACATGTGGCACTAGATGAGAATCAGAAACATTAATATGAACTCATGTTTAGCTTAATATAGATACAGATTAATATATGTATATTGATATAGATGTATGCATGGGTTAGTATAAAAGGAAATATTTCCTAGCTCTGTCTGCTAGGAACAATGTCTGAAGAGCCTAGAAACAATGATATCCCAGTAGCAATAGCTACCCAGTACCCGGATCTTGGTTTCTAATACCATTCTCTAATAAAAGGAAACAGGAATCTTTGGAGAATTGATGCATTCTAGGTTTGTGGCAGGGATCAGAAAGTAAACAAATGCTAAGAAAGAAAACTACAATAAAAATAAACAAACAAAAAATGGTAGAGGTAGTGAAAGGGACACAGCAGCTGACAGAAAGAGCTTCCAATGGTCAAAGGTGAAAAATTTCATCAACAAAATAAATAGTGTAATATTAGATTATATTCCAAAGTATAAAGCAAATACTCATGGGTCCATACTGATGTAAGTAAATGATTGAACAAGTAAATAGATGGGGGGAATAGAAAAATCTGTACAAAAGAATTCCAAATAATTAACATAGATATTCCTCCCTCAAGAAGGCAGAGCTTAACTCTCCATCCTGTTTAAGTGTGGGTTTTGCATATTGATTGCCTTCCAAAGAGTACTGGATACAGAGAAGAGTAACTTGACAGCAGAGAAACCTGACACACTACCTCAGTTCAGGGTTAACATGATCAATGGTAAGACATGTTGATAGCATATACCCTTGATATAAGATGAGAATGACACATTACCTCTGTAATCTTCCTACCAGAAATCCATAACCCCTCCCCACCATCAGGCAAACCCAAATCGAAGGACATTCTACTAAATACATGACCAGTACTCCTCAAAGCTCAAGGTCATCAAAAATGAGAGAAGTTTAAGAAACTGTCACAGTCTAGAGAAGCCTAAGGACGTAAGATGACTAACTGTAATGCATATTGGATGAGATCCTGGAAAAGAAAAAGGAAATTAGTTAAAAACTAAGAAAATTGTGATAAAGTATGGCTTTTGATAATAATGTATCAATATTGGTATCAATATTGACTTATTAGTTTTAATAAGTGTTAACAATAGGAAAAACTGGGTGAAGGGAAACAGGAAGGAACTCTTTATAATAGTTTTTCAAATTTTCTGTATATGTAAAATGATTCTAAAATCAAATGTTTATTAAATGTTTAAAAAATGTCTAGCTGTGAGTCCCAGCAATCTTTAATATGCTCTTCAGGTGATTCTGATGCATGCTAAAATTTAGAACCATTGCTTTATTTATAATCAAAAGGAAGCTTACGATTAGAAAAGCTTGTGATTTTATTGCAAGGTAGGGACCAAACAGCACCTTACACACAGATTGTCTCTGAATGATCTCATTGAATAAATGAATAAGTAATAGCTATCTACCTTTTACATAAACTCATAGAGTATCTTGATTTGCTGCATATAGTCCATTTGTAGGGAGAGAAGAATAAAATGCTTTTGCGACTCAATTGTATTGTTATTGTATCACACCAATTTTAGCCTAAGTAGGAACCAAGGAAGGCTTCACAGATTCCTGTCTATTGGGGTCTCCAAAGGTAGTCAAATAATAGCAACCCTTTTTAATTGAAAAATATAGTAAGGGTAGCTGTGATAGATTGGAGACAAAATATGACATTATGGATAAAGTCCTGCTCTTGAACTCCCAAATTTGACAGACCTACCCACCCATTCACTAAAGAATCTAGACCACCTCAGGCCCACCCCAACCCTCGTAAGGTATATCATTTGTAAAGGTATGGAGAGGAGCCAAGGTTGTCATACTAGAGCTCCGTTCCAGAAGAACTGTCAGGAATGGAGAAGAAGTGTTCTCTCCATTACTGGGAGTAAATAGGAGCAGGCAAGGCAAATTGATAAATGTGGGATACTTTTCCAGGTGGAGAGGGATAAGTAGTCAAGATCTAATTGTGTTAGGGGATCTGACCCACGAAATAGATTCTATAGGTTATATGGGGGAGTTTCAGACAATTTTTCAATATATACCAAATTTAAACAACATTCAGACAATGGTTGATAGATCCAGGCAAAAATCCTTTTTGCCAACCTAGGGCTTTGTCTGTGAATGGTAGTTCCTCTGCCATTAGAAGATTGACTAGACTATTAATTTCCTGGAATTAGTGGAATTAATAACTTGTGGATTTTTTTAGATTATAAGAAGTGTTTTTCTCAGGCTCTGGGCCTTCTTAAGAGGAGACTGAGCCTTAGTCTCTGGAAAGTACACCCTTAAATTCTGTTTTTCTAAAGCTATTCAAGCTTAACCCTTCCCAAAGACTCATGGATTCCTTCTTCACATCCTGTTTTTAACAGAAAACATTGCACTCTGCCTGACCTATATACCTTGTCATGGCTCTTTATTACCCAAATCCAACTTCCCCAGTCCTGAATGAAATTTTTTTAAAGAACTTGAACCTCTGGTTCGCCTAAAGGCTTGAGGCTAACCCTTTTCCCTGTATTACTTACATGGATATTGAGCCTATTTTGATCCTATATTTAAGCAGAACTTTCATTGGAGAGTCTTTAGCTCCTGGTGAAGATGATTAGAGGTGTGGGCTGTAATCTAAATCGAAAGACAACTGATAAGAAGGCCAAACAACAAAAGGTTGTTGTAGAGATAGACTAGAAGTTAGCTTAGGCTCAAAGAAGGGTTGTATACTATTGTCCCAAAATACACTTGCCCATATTCTTGAGTAGTATCAACAGTCATTCACCCCATTCTCCGTTAATATTATGGGAGATGTAATGGAATGCTTTTGGAGCTATGACTAAAAGTATGAGACGGGTATGCTTATTGTATTAGAAACAGAGACTGTTTATGGGCTGTAAGATTCAGTTTGGCTTCAGAGGAATTGAACAGACTACATCTCTCAACATGTCCTGATTCTTGACCATATAAATCCACCTCTAATGTATGACCTATCACAATAACTTATGAAATGAAATTTTAAAATAGCAATCAGTAAATGATTTGTATTGTGCATTTTAGATTTACCAGTTAAGAAGAAAACAGATGGAAAACCTGTAATAGAAGACTTAAAGAAGACTGTAGAGATACTACTCACAGAGACAGAAACAATGACATTTTTTAACCTACCAACAGTCATGATTTCTACAGAAGCTGAAGAAGCTGACAAAGTGCTGTATGTATGGTTCAACTGTTTACATTGCTTCTGTAATTTGAGTGCTAAGATGGAATTTCTTATTCTTGTTTCTATCCTTGGGGGTACCTGGATAAATACTGTGGTGTATGTGCCTGGTGAAACTATTTGTTACTCTATGTGCCCTGTGAAATTATACTTAAAGTGTTTATGCTGTATGTACTTTTTTTCTAAAGGAGGAACCCATGACTTTACCATATTCTTTTAAAAGTAGAGGAACTACTAAGTTAAATCATAAAAGAAATAAAGGAAGCTTCTAAGCCTCAATATAGGTTTTAATGATTTTTATGCATATATAAATTATTTTCAATTTAAAAAAGAAAGGACTGACATTTTTATATTCAGAACTTAAGGGAATATATGTTATGGGAAAATAATTGACTTTATTATATTAGAGATTTTCCATTTCTCTTTATTAATGACTATAAATAGATTACTAGTTTTTGCCTTATGTATTTTGAACCTCTGTTGTTAGGCACATACATATTAAGTAAGGATTGTTGTTTTTGAAGAATTGACCCCTTTATCACTATGTAACACCACTGTCTATCTCTGATGATTTTCCTTGCTCTGAAGTCCGCTGTTTGAAATTGATATAGTTACTACAAATAAATTATTAACGTAGTTATTCAAATTATTTAGCTTCAAATATAATTTGAATATGATGAGTAGTGATAAAAAAATCCACTAAAATATTTTTTAGGGCATTATTCTTATCCAAATATAAAATATTATAGAATTATTTGCACTATAAAATATAGTACAATTAGATCTTGAATAACGTACTTTTAGAAGTTCACATGACATTCCTGGCTGGGGTGGCTCAGTGGATAGAATGTTGGCCCACACACTGAAGGAAGGGTCATGGGATCGAATCCTGGTCAAGAGCACATACCTGGGTTGCAGGTTCAATCCCTGGCTTCAGTTCCTGCGGCTGGTCAGGTTGTGGGAGGCAATCAATCTATGTCTCTCTTTTTTTCTCTCTCTCTCTCCCCCTCCCTCCCTCCATTCCACTCTCTCTAAAAATCAATGGAAAAAATATCCTCGGGTGAAGATTAACAAAAAATAAATAAATAAGTTTATATGACATAAACGAAAGCTACTAGGACCAAAAAAAGGGAAGGGAAAAATAACACAGAGATAAATAAGTGATCTGAAATCAGAAAGCGAGAGATGCTAGAAACAAATGTTATATTAGCTCATGGATCTAGAGTCCACCAGTAAGTCTTGGGTCCCCAACAAATTGAGAAAGCTAAAAGCGGTTATTTTATTAAGCCCAGACCCTTAAGAAGATCTCAATTATCTCAAGTTGTACCAGGTCATTAGGGTCTCCTAGCTACTATTATAAGCTAGTACAAGTCTTCTCTGAAGGAAAACACCCATTTAGGCTCTTAAGATTCCCTTAGATAAGGTTTGTTAAAAGTACACTAAATTAATAAAGATTACTAGTTTCTGTTTTTTTTAAAGCCATTAAGAATGAGAGTTAAAAGATATAAGAAATGCGATATCTAGACCCTGACAACTATGGATAATGATATTACTAGATATAGAATGTAAAATATATGTAAAACATTTAAGTAAAAGCGTTAAAACATCATTAACATTAAGAAACTATCACAATGATGACTTACATTTGGAAAAACATCTAAAAAGTACTTTAAAGTATGTTTACATGATTGTTGAAATCAGAAAGTAAACACTGACTTAATTCTTGTAATTAAAAAGTAAATATTACTCCGTTGTATGCTCTTGCCTCCTTTGTCACATATTAACTGACCATAATGGTGTGGGTCTATTTCTGGGTTTCTGTTCTGTTCCATTGATCTATATGTCTGTTGTTGTACCAATACGAGGCTGTTCTGATTACAATGGCTTTGTAGTATAGTTTGATATCCAGTAAAGTGAGCTCTCCAACTCTGTTCTTTTTTTTTTTTTTTTTAATATATCTTTATTGATTTCAGAGAGAGGAAAAGAGAGGAAGAGAGAGAGAGATAGAAACATCAATGATGAGAGAGCCATTGATCAAGCCCACAACCCGGGCATGTGCCCTGACTGGGAATCAAACCCCAATCGCCTGGATCCTAGGTCGACGCTCAACTGCTGAGCCACGCCCAGCCAGGCCTACTCTGTTCTTTCTCAAGATTGCTGCGGCTATTTGGGGTCCTTTTTGGTTCCATATGCATTTTTGGAATATTTGTTCTAGCTCTGTGAAATATGCCATTGGTATTTTAATAGGACTTGCATTGAATCTATAGATTGCTTTGGGTAGTATGGACATTTTAATGATATTCTTCCAATTCATGAACATGGTATATACTTCCACTTGTTTATATCTTCCTTATGGACATTTTAATGATATTCTTCCAATTCATGAACATGGTATATACTTCCACTTGTTTATATCTTCCTCTGTTTCTTTTTTCATTGTCCTGTAGTTTTCCAAATACAGGTCTTTTACATTCTTGGTTAAGTTTATTCCAAGGTATCTTATTTTTTTGTTCCAACAGTAAGTGATATTGTTTTTTTTAGTTTCTCTTTCTGAGAGTTCATTGTTGGTGTATTAAAATGCTGTCACTTTTCGGATGTTAATTTTGTATCCATCTACCTTGCTGAATTCATTTATCAAATCTAGTAGTACTTTGGTGGAGTCTTTAGGGTTTTCTATGTACAATATTATGTCATCTGCAAATATTGACAGTTTTACTTCCTCCTTTCCAATTTGTATGCCTTTTATGTTTTCTTCCTGTCTGATGGCTATGGCAAGGATTTCCAGTACTATGTTGAGTAAGAGTGGTGAAAGCAGACAACCCTGTCTTGTTCCCACTTTTAAGGGCTTACGGCATACAGTGAAGTAAAGACAGTCTCTTCAATAAATGGTATTCGGGAAATTGGACAGGTACATGCAAAAAAAATGAAACTAGATCACCAACTTACTCCATACACAAGAATAAATTCAAAATGGATAAAAGACTTAAATATAAGTCTCAAAGCCATTAAAATCCTGGAAGAAAACATAGACAGTAAAGTCACAGACATCTCACGCAGTGGAATTTTCACCGATATATTTCCTAGGGCAAGAGAAACAAAAGAAAAAATAAACAAATGGGACTATGTCAAACTAAAAGCTTCTGAACGGCAGAAGAAATCAGCCTCAAAATACAAAGGAACCCTACGGTCTGGGAGAACATATTTGCCAAGGATGCATCTGATAAGGGGCTAATTTCCAAAGTGCACAAAGAACTCATACAACTCAACAAGAGGAAGACAAACAATCCAATTAAAAAATGGGCAAAGGACCTGAATAGACACTTCTCCAAAGAAGACGTACAGATGGCCAAGAGACATGAGAAAATGCTCAACGTTGCTAATCATCAGAGAAATGCAAATTAAAACCACAATTAAAATCACACCTGTCAGAATGTCTACCATCAACAAATCAACAAACAACAAGTGCTGGCGAGGATGTGGAGAAAGGGGAACCCTGGTACACTGCTGGTGGGAATGCAGACTGGTGCAGTCACTATGGAAAACAGTATGGAGGCTCCTCAGAAAATTAAAAGTGAAGCTGCCTTTTGACCCATTGATCCCACTTCTAGGAATATATCCAAAGAATCCTGAAACACTAATCAGAAAAAATATATGCACCCCTATGTTCATAGCAGCTCAATTCACAATGGCTAAGATCTGGAAACAGCCCAAGTGTGCATCAGTAGATGAGTGGATAAAAAAGCTGTGGGACATTTACACCATGGAGTACTATGCAACTGTAAAGAAGGATCTCGTACCCTTTGGGACAGTATGGATGGACCTGGAGAAATTATGCTAAGTGAAATAAGCCAGGCAGAGAAAGAAAATATCACATGATCTCACTTATATGTGGAATCTAAAGAACAGAATAAACTGATGAACAAAATAGATTCAGTGGCATGGAAGCATGAATCAGACTGATGAATCTTAGAGGGAAGATGGAGGGTGGGGTGTGGGGAGAGATTAACCAAAGAATTTATATGCATATATGCATAACCAATGGACACAGACAATAGTGTGGTGAAGACCTGGGGAGGGGAGTGGGTGTGGTGTAGAAGGGGTCAATGGGGAAAAAAAGGAACATCTGTAATATTTGGAACAAAAATAAATAAATAAATAAATAAATAAATAAAATATTAAATTTAAATAAGACATAATTGAATATAGATTTAATAAATTGGATCTGAATACCATACAGACATAGATCTGGATAAATTATACAAAATAAAATTTGTATAATATAAAAAATAAGAATGGTATATAAAGTATTACAAATTTAAAAAGATATTGACAATAGAATAAATGTCTAATGTACATATCCTCAGTTCCAAAAGGGCAAAGTATAAAGAGAATGGAGGAGAGGTACTAAGCAAAGAAAGTGGTTAAGGACTTTCCCAAACTATTTAGAGACACCATTCTACAGAAAAAGAAATAAATAAAAATAAATCTACATACACACCAAAAGAACTTAGTGCATTGTATGATACTGTATTGAATATCAAGTATTAAAAGATTTTAAAGCAGAAGGAAAAAAGAGAACATATCATCTACAGAGAAACAATTAAACGGACAGCATTATTAGGGATATAGGAGGTCACTTCATAATGACAGAAACTTATAATAATTCTAAACTTGCATTTTCCTAATAAAATAACCTCCAAATATATAAAGTAAAAATTGGAAACTTGATAAGTATCCTGTTAAAGTAAAATATTTAAACATACTTCTATCAATTATTGATAGGTCAACCAGATAAAAATTAGTACAGATGTAGATAATTTGAACCAAAAATATATTTTAATAGTTATACATGAACTCTACATTCCACAATTGGAGAACACACACTCTTTTCAGGCACACATGAAACATTTATAAAAATCATCCATGCACAAGGCCATGAAACACTTTCAAAAATGTCTAAGAAGTGGCCCGGCCGGGCGTGGCTCAGTGGTTGAGCGTCGACCTAGGATCCAGGCGATCGGGGTTCGATTCCCGGTCAGGGCACATGCCCAGGTCACAGGCTCAATCCCCAGTCGGGGGCGTGCAGGAGGCAGCTGATCAATGACTCTCTCATCATTGATGTTTCTGTCTCTCTCCCTCTCCTTTCCTCTCTCTGAAATCAATAAGGATATAAAATAAAAAAAATGTCTAAAAAGTGGTATCATACAAAATAAATTCTCTAACCACAGTGGAATGAAGATAAAAATTAATAAGTCTCAACTAAAACATAAACACATTCACATATACATTTGGAAGTTAACAAGTACATTTTCTAAATTCTTCATGAATCAAAGGAAAAGTCATAATGGAAATTTAAATACTCAGAACTAAACAATTATGAAAGTAATGCTTACAGGATGATACAAAAAATAAGTAGTACTTTGAGGGAAATTTATAGCTTTAAGTGTCCATATCAAAGTTCATAAAATCTATGTGGAGATAGTGCTAACATATTTTTGGTGGCCACTGAAAGTACTAGTGAAGTTGGGAGATATATCATAAAGAACTCCTTTGTTGTTAGTTTAATGCAATCTCTTCCTAAGGAGTTTTTTGATCTCTTACTTTTTGGTACAGTCCACATTGGGAAGATAATTTTAAGAAAATGCATAATATAGAGAGATGACATGTGTGGTAATAAATTTTTATTAATGAACTGAGTATACTTTGTTTTTTATAGCTATAGAAACAAGAATTATGAGAACCTTTGTAGAAATAGAATAGGCAATGACTTATATGTTGAAAGAATGATGCAGACTATTAATGGAGCACCGAAGAATAAAGATGTTCAATGTGACAAAATTATAAAGGAAGAGAAAGGTAATTTATGTTTTATTCTGCTTGATAAACTACCATGTTTTGATATACATTCTCTGAATCTGTCAATTAACAAGTAAATGTTAAAATATATAAAGCAACAAATAATTTGCCAAATCACAACAGTAACTGGGTACTGTGATGTACAGCTTTCAGAATTTGACAAATAAGTTAACCAGTAATAGATAGAGAATATTTGAATAACATAATTATCAATTTTGATTTTCATACAAACTATCTCACAGAACTTTATACTCTTCAAATGTTTATGAAACTTTATAAAGACTAATTGTTTGTATTACAAAGACTATCATGTACAACTAATAACATTTAAAATGTGCCAGACATTATTCTAGGCCTTTTACATTATTCTAGACCTTTAACCAGTTTAATTCTCAAAACAACCCTACAAGGTAGGTACTATTATTCCCCCATTTTTTAGAGGAAGAAACAAGCTCACTTGCCCAAGGTCACTCAGCTATTATTGAAGACAATGATACCCCTAAACAGTCTAGCTCTAGAGCTTGTTCTCTTACTACTATCTTTTAATGTTTATAAATTAACAACCCTGAGAGCACTGCATAGCCCAAAATAGTGAAGTGTGGTCAAAGTGGTAATTAAAAGAAAGGTTATAATCTTAATGGCCTTTGTTACTCAGCAAAACTATAAGCTAGTTCTTTTAAAAGACAAACTTCTAGGCAAATGCTAAATCAAGAGAAGAACTTAATAGTGGGAAAGGTTTGTCTTAAAGACAGCTGCCTGCCTTCCCAGTATGAGACCCTGGCTCCTGGTTTGAGAGGGAGCAGAACAGACCTTTTTCTCAAGGAATTTGGTTTGACTGTTTTATCTGAAGGACTGATGTACTTGTCTGTCTCTCTGTTTGTTTGTTTTTTGCCTAACTCGTAACTCTCAAGTGGTAAGGCAGTTTTGCATATTTTATTCTCCAAAATCTTGTGGAGTTCTCCAGCAACCTGATAATACAATCCAGGTTTTCCTGCCCCAGCACTGGTTCCCACAGTGGACTCCACTCCTGAGTCTTGGCTCCAAATAAGCCATGATTTCCTGTATTTGCCTGTTAATCTCTTCACTCTTGGGGGCAGCAGTATCCTTACCTCTCTTTTAGATCCGAGACGAGTTGTTGATTTTCAGTCTGTTTAGCTTTTCACTTGTTCTTAGGACCGAATGGTGACTTCCAAGCTCCTTAATTACGGAACTGGAAATCCCAAGTCCTATCTTCTAAACCTGAGGATAGAATGCCCAGTTGAATCTGCCCAGATTCTTCTCTGTATCTAGCTTGCCTTTATCATTCTTAATGTAGTTCCTTTCCAATAGGCCTTTCTTGGTAAGTTGAGAAAACGGATTTCACTGCACAGACATGTTCTGTTTTACCTTACTCTGGAGAGCTTCAGAGAAACCATGATGAATAGAAAATATAGAGCAGCCCACTTACCCTGATCTTTATTTCACTGGACATTCAGTGTCTAGCTTGTCAGGTGCCCTCAGTGGGTTAAACTCTGTTTCGGGGGACTTATTTATGGTCTTACCCTGTATTTTCCCTATAAGTGGCTCCTCTAGACTCTCAAGGAAGCTGAAGTCAGACTATGGCCCAGACTGTTCTGATTATCTTTTCCTGGGAGTCCTCATCTACGAGTGGTAATTTTGTTCTCTCTTTCTTTTTAAGCAGAGCATTCTTTCCATCCTCACCCAAGGATTTTATTTCCATTGCTTTTCAGCAAGAGTGGGAGAAAGAGAGAGAGAGAGAGAGAGAGAGAATCACCAATGTGAGAGAGACTCATCGATTGGTTGCCTCCCGCACATGCCCCTGACCAGGGCCAGGTATCAAGTGTGCACCCGAAGTATGTGCCCTTGGCCGGAATTGAACCTATGACCCTTCAGCCCATGGGCTGACGCTATAACCACTGAGCCAAACCAGCTAGGGTAGAGCATTCTTTTTTTTTTAATTCAATATTCAAAGACAGTTTCTTTCTATGATCTTTTACTTCATGAACATGGACATTATACCCCTTCCAATTCAGCAAAATACAGTAGGTATTTATTCCGTGTATGATTTTGCTAGATATTATTAAGCTCAATAAGATAGAAATGTTATAAAATGTAAGTTAACCCTCCTACTAATTGAAAACCTTGTTAAACACCAGAAATCTTTCATTTTACGTTATGAAAAAGCTGCTAACAATGAAATAGTTGCACTTGTTAGATCCAGATCCTGTTTTTATTTTCAGGGAAAAATTCTTTATTAAATCACTGTACTTCAACTGAAAGTTTAGTAAGTTTAGCATGTAGGAATATATTGTTATGTGGTCACTGATAAAATAATTGCTATATAAGCCTTTCATTTTTATATCAGCAATGAAGTGTTGGGAGCTTTTTTCCTGAGACAATTTTATATTTGCCCATTTGAACAAATATAAACAAAAAATTTAAAAGAGAAGTTAAAAACCATACTAGTCTACCAATTTTTTGAGAACAGTCTATCATTTCCCCAAAATGTATGATCTTTTCACATAAGCATATAGAAAATTTTTCTTGATAAAATGAATTAGATAATTAAAAAGGAAAAGCTCTGCAGAATATAACATGTTATCTGTTAACCATAGTAAAGGAACATTAAAACCTTGTTATAACATGATTGTCTGAGTCCATATCAACTCACAGACAGATGAGATTATGCTGCACCAACTTGGGATAAAGAGGAGGGAGGTGTGGGGGTCAGAAAGGATGGTGAGGATAATTTGGAGCTGTCACCAAAACAGTAAGGTATTTGGAGATGCTAAGAGTGTGATGCCTAAGGATTTTTTAAGTTGTCTTCATGATCTGTTTCTTTTTAATTTTTATTCACTTCCTGCACTGGTACTTTTGTGGTTAAATAGTAGTACTTTTTTTCCTAGACTGTAGATATCTTAGATTTTGCTATGACTAGTTTATGTATAAGCTGAAATATTAGAATTTGGTCTCCAGTAATTTTTACCTTTCTGTCTCTTTAGGCATAATGTCTACTGCTTGGGATTTGTATGATTCTTATAATGCTCTGGAAGTTTCCTCCTTACCAGTAACACAATCTATAATTGATTCAACCAGTAAAGCAAGTGTAAAACGATCTGTAGTTGATTCAAGCAGCAGAGCAAGTGTACCTCCTAAAGATCAGGACCGAAAAGGGCTAGGAAGTACTACAGAAAAAAGTAAGATTTCAGTTTTTTGAATGAGGTTTTCACATGATATTTTCAATAAATTCTCTTTTTAGCAGTTATAATATTTTCTTTCTGGTGGAACATGAAAAGTATTGAATTAGAAAGTTTCCCTTCCCCTTCTATTTTCTGGAAGAGATTGTGTAGAATTGGTGTTCATTCTTTAAATGTCTGGTAGAATTCTGCAGTAAAACTATCTGTGCCTGGGGATTTGGGGGGGGGGAGGGGGGAATTTTGCAATTACAAATTCAATTTTATTAAATTTGCTGGCTTCTTCAGCTTTATATTTGGAATATATGTGACCATAAGGAAACCCAGAGAATTCACAACTGTGTCATTCCTTAGGTTCCCAGGACTCTATCTAGTTGCTCTGCCTTCTTCCAAAGACTTTTAAAGCCTTCTTATGTTTGTCACATATATTCCAGGATTTTTAGTTGTTTTTAGCAAGAGGAACAGGCAAAAATATGTCTGTGCCATCTTCATGGAAGTAGGACTGACCTTTATTTGGTTTTTGTTTTTTTAAATAAGAGTGTGCTAAGTAGTGTGGTAAGCAGAATAATAGTTCCCCAAATATGTACACATCCCAATCCCTGGAATCTATAAATATCTTACTTTACATGGCAAAAAAGACTTTCCAGATGTGATTAAATAAAGATCTTCAAAGGAGGAGATTTTCTTGCATTATTCAAGTGGGCTCCATCTAATCACATGTGTACTTAAAAGTGGAGGACCTTTCCCACCTGTGGTCAGAGGGAGACGCAATGACAGAAGATCAGCAAGATGCCATGTTGCCTGACTTTTAAGATGGGGGAGGGCGTGGGTGGCCTCTAGAAGCTGGAAAAGGAAAGAAAATAAATTCTCCTCTAGAGCCTCTGGAAAGGAACATAACCCTATTGACTTCTTGGTTTAGCCCAGTGAGACCTGCAACCAGACCTCTAACCTACAGTATTCTAAGTTAATAAATTTGCATGTTTTTAATCCACTAAGTTTTTGATAATTAATTATAGCATCAATAAAAAATTAACACAGTAGTAGAATATTCCTATGAAGCAATAATCAGATCAGACATTTATCTGAAGACTGATTATCTTATTTTAATTGGAAAAAATGTACAGACATAAAAATTACCTCATGAGGTTATCATTTTTTATCTTTCAAAAGACAGTACATTTTTGAGTGGTTGAGAATTCCAAAATGAGATAATATATATATGTGTGTGTGTGTTTTACATATATATATACACATATATGTATATTATATATATATATATATCTTGCATGCGCTTAGTACATAAAAGATATTCATTAAATGTCTATTGAAGTTGTTGAGTACTGGAAGAAAAGAAATAGTGATAGCAAAATGTCATTTTTAAAATATTTAGAATGCATGAATCATCTAATATTACTTGGATTATTTTATCATTATGTTTGTATTTTACAGATAGTGAAGCTAGTTCTATAATGGAAATAGAAAATGTAATTCTGTCTAAAGTGCATGATGATGAAGAAAACTACTCAGATTCAATATTCAAATCTGGAAAGTTTCAGCAGGACTTATTTTTTATGGAACGAGTTCTAATGGAAAATATATTTCAGCCCAAACTTGCAGCTTATCGTCAGCTTCCTATTTTAAAAGGTATTTTCAAAACATAATCACATTTAAACAAACTCAAATAATTTTAAAAATTAAATGATGTTACTATTTCTAAATGTAATCTCGACTGGGTTATCACTTATCAGAAGATGTGTTTATATAGCTTTCAGCACTAAACATGGGAGCGAGTGACAGTAGAGTCCAGACTAGAGAACCCACAGCAAGTCCTGGTCCCTTGGATTCAAAACTCATAAGCGTCTGTGGCTTCCTTCTCCCTGCATTAAATTATTCTCTCATATTCAGACTTCCTTTTCCATTGCCATTAACACTTCCCAGGTTCTGGCTTTTATCACCTGTCCCTAATTTTATTGCAGGGTCATTCTTCCTGTTCTCCTTGCTACAAATTCCACCTCTTTGTTCTCAGAATATTTTGAAGGGTTTTAAAGATGATCTTATTCCACCTTTCAATATTTGAATGAACAAAATAAAGGCTATAGAAACTTTCTAAGGTTACATAGTCTATGGCAAAGCTAGACATCCAACCAAGATCTTTTGATTCCATTCCAATTGTCTTTCCACTCTACCATCCTGACATACTGATGTATCATAAACACAGGTTTGAACATGGCATTTAACTGCCCCCAAAACCCTTCAGTACCTTCCCATTGCCTAGTATAAATTACAAACGTATCATACAAAGATACTTGCAATCTGGACACGGACTACTTTATCTCGTTGTATGACTTTGGAGACCCTAAAAGTTATCCATATTATACTCACCTGATAATCCCTAAACAAAATCTAAACATTTCTGCTTTACTTTTAATTGGAATATGCTTGACAGTCCAAGCATATTTCAATTAAAAGTACCCACCCTTGTACCCATCCCATCTTTGCCTATTATATTCCTATCTTTCAAGTATGCATTAGGGCAGGCTGCTTCATGACATCTTTCTTGATCCTTCAAGTCAAAATCAAACTTCTGTATGCCTACATTAAAAACTTAGGTTACAAAATAGCATGTGTGACAAATGGTTGTAAACCTTTTCCTTACATACATCCAAGAATATTGAAAAACTATGTCCCCTCTCTCGTATTAGGTTGATATTTACCATTTTCATCATATATGTAAACTTTTAATTCTATATTTAAAGAGCTATAAGGTTGAAATTTACTTTGTACTGTGCATTTTGACATTTTAAAAGCAAAACTGTTGATAGATTACTTCTTTAAATGTATCTAAGAAATTAAATATTGTAGAAAGTATTTTAATGAGATAAGATTTAAACACAATAAAATAGAGATATTTTAACTGTATCGTTTGATATATTTTGAAAGTATATAAGACTGTGTAACTAATACTCTAATAGAAATAGAGAATATATCCATCAACCCCCAAAATTCTCTTGTGCTGTTTTTTAGTTACACCTTACCATAAAAAGCATTCACCTGATTTCTCTCACCATCGATTAGCTGTTTTGGTATATCATATAAGTGGGTTCATATAGTAGTATTCTTTGGTGTCTGGTTTCTTTCACTCAACATAATGATTTTGCGATGCATATATAAGTAGTTCATTTTTCCCCCCAAGTACTGTTTCATTTAATGAATGTACCATAAAGATTTGTATATTGATTCATCTGTTAATGGATACCTGGGCTGTCTGCAGTTTTAGACTATTATGGATAAAGCTGCTATGATCATTGTTATGTATCTTTTTGTGGACATAAGTTTTAATTTCTCTTGGGTAAATACCTAGAGATGGAATTATTGAGTCATTGTGTAGATGTATGTTTAACTTCTTTCGAAACTGAAAAATACCTTTCCAAAGTACTTGTACCATCTTACAATCCTACAAGCAAAATACAAGAGTAGCAGTTGCTCCATACTCTCGGTAACACCTGATGTTGGCAATCTTTTTAATGTCCTAAAGACTAATTACATTGAGTACTTTTCAGGTGCTTTTTCCCCAAGTACTTAATCCCTGTGTTTAAATCTCACTTGGTTATGTTGTATTATCCTTTTTCTATATTGGCAAATTCAATTTTTTAATATTCTGTTAAGAATTTTCCAATTGAGTTTATGCAGCATATTTTTCTGTAATTTTTTGTTCTTGTAAAGACCATGATGAGTTTTTGTATCAGTTTTATGATAGATATATAAAATGAGTTTTGGAAGCCTTCTCTCATTTTCTTTTTTAAAAAAAAAAAGAAGTGTATTATTTCTTCTTTAATTGTTTGATAAAATTTACCAATGAACCCATCTGGAACTGAATTTTCTTTATAAGAAGTTTTCAAATTGCAAGTTTAATTTTTTTGACACATATAGGGTTATTCAGATATTCTATTTCTACCTATGTCAGTTTTGGTAATTTGTGAGGAATTTACCCATTTTATTTATGTTGTTGAAGTTATATGCATAAAGCTGCTCATAATACCCTCTCCTTAAATTCTATCCTTTAATATCTGCAGGCTTTATAGTGATATCACTTATTTCATTCTTGATATTGGTCATTTGTGAATTTTCTCCTCTTTTTTTATTAGTGTAGTTGGGCCTTTTTCAATTGTATTAATCCTTTAAAAAAATCACCTGGCTTTCTTGACTTTCTCAATTTTTATCTGCTTTTAAAAAAACAAAATTCAATTATTTCCATTTTTACTTTTATGTTTTTGTTTTATATTGTGTTTAATTTACTCTTTTTTTCAAGTTTTTCAAGATAGAAGGTTAGTCATTAATTTCACATATTTTTTCTTGCATAAGATAGGTATTTAGTACTATAAATTCACCTGTAAGTACTATATTAGCTGCATCCCACATATTTTGATAGCTTGTGTTTTCATAATTATTCAGTTAGTAATAATTTTTAATTTCTTATGTGGATTTTCTTGACCCATAGGTTAGTTTGAAGTGTGTATTTTTTAAGGTTTTTTACCAATTTTTATACTATATTTTTGTATTGATTTCTAATTTAATACTGTGGGGTGGTCAGAGAACATATTCCTATGATTTCTAGCCTTTGAAATTTATCAAGACTTGTTTTATGGCCCAGCATATGGAGAGTGTTTTATACTCAAGAACATTGTATATTCTGTTATTATTGGTGTGGTATTCTTTAAATGTTAATTTTGTCAAATTGCTGTTAATGTTTTCAAAATTTTACCTTTATTGACTTTTTGTTGACCCTTTCTGTCAATTAATAAGAGAGTAATATTAAAATCCCTAGTTTATGATTATAGTTTTGTTTATATTTTCCTTTAGGTTTGTTAATTTTGTTCTATATATCTGATAGCTTTGTTTTCAGGTACATTCAAATTTAAAAGTGTTCTGTCTTATTGATGCTACCCTTTTTAAAAATCGTTATTTGCACTTTCATAATTAAGAAATGCCTGTATTTATTCTGATAATACTTTTTGTCTTGAAGTCTAATTTGCATTACATTAATATAGCCATACTAACTTTCCTAGCCTTTTTATTTGCATGGTAGATATTTTTCCTACCTTTTACTTATAACATTTTTATTTTTATGTTTAATATGTATCTGTTGTAAACAGTATATAGTTTGGTCTTGATTTTTTTACTCAGTTTAACAATCTCCACCTTTAAATCAAGTTGTTGGAGCTTATTTTTATCTCTGCCTCTTTGAACTTTTATCTCTGCTTCTGCAACTCAGCTGGACTGCTGTGTTTTGCTACACTCACTTCCCAGCACTGTGGTGAGGTCATTGTCCCAGGCTGAAAGTGTGGTTGACCATGGTGTTTACAGTTGTGCAATGCCTATTGTTTAGTGCCTGAAAAGTTACCTCATATTTCAAATACAGCTTTATATCTATTTATGGTAGGAGGGCAAGTCTAATACAGTTAACTCATAATAACTGGAAGCTTATCATAGCAATGTGGAACCCATCATTGACCATTTTAAAAAGATGAAATAGTACTTCTACTTTTAGTTATAATGTAGATAATTATGAGACCACACACAGGACAGGGAGATGAATTGTAATAGAGTACATCATTTTGCTTATTCTATGGCACATAAAGATAAGAGTTCAGAGAGGCTGAGGTGACTGGAATTGGTAGGATAGAGAATCAGACAGGAGGAAGCTATGAAGAGAAATAAATGCATAAATCTACCATTGAGTCTTTGGCCGAAACACAAGTTGTGCATGTTGGAGTAAAATTCCAGAATGTAAACAAAGAACAACTACCAGGAGCTATAAGATGAACAAGTGTCAGAGTTTACTCAGGACTAGGAGACCTTTGAGTTCTGAGTGGCTGAAGGTAGAGACCTTATTGCACACCTGGGGTGTTCAATAGATATCCAGAAGGGCCACTTTCCCCAACAAACAACCCTTTAGAAAAAGCTTTCAGAAAAATTAAGCTAACCTGAAAGTAAGTGAACTGCCTTTCAAAACAAACTTTAACACTGTATAAAGGAAGAAAACACAATCCAGACTTTCAATACTGTAACATCCAGTGTACAGCATCCAGCAAAAAATTCCTAGTCACGTGAAGAAGCAAGGACACATGAGCCATGCCATGAGAGAACTCAGTCAACAGAAACAGATGAAAGGTGGTGGAGATGATGGGAAAGCAGGCAGGGACTTTTAAAAGGCTATTATACCCAGAAGAGTCAGTAAATATTGAAGAAAAATAACAAAGTCAGAAGACTGGCATTACTGGACTTCAAGACTTAGTATAAAGCTACAGTAGTTAAGACAGTGCGGTCATTGATGAAAGGATAGATACATAGATCAATGGATCAAAACAAAACACAGAGCCCAGAAATACATCCACATGAATATAGTCAACTGATCTTTGACAAAAGAGGAAAGGCAATACAGTGAAGGAAAGAGTCTTTTCAACAAATAGTACTGCAACAATTGGACATTTACAGGCAAAATAAAGAATCTAGACACAGAACTCACACCTATCACAAAAAGTAACTCAAAATGGATCAAAGACCACAATGTAAAATGCAAAACTATGAAACTTCTAAAAGACAACACAGGAGAAAATGAGTATGACCTTGAGTATGGTGATGACTTTTTTTTTTAATTTAACACCAAAGGCATGATCCATTGAAAATAATAATTGATAAGCTTACTTTATTAAATTAAAAAACTGTTTGTGAAAGACATTTTCAAGATAATGAGAAGTAAAGTCACAGACTGGAGAATATTTACAAAAGACATATTATCCAAAATCCCTCAACAATAAGAAAACAAACAACATTATTAAAACATGGGCAGAAGACCTTAACAGAGACCTCACTAAAGAAATATACATATGCCAAATAAGCATATAAAAAGATACTCAACATCATGTGTTATTAGGGAATTGCAAATTAAAATGAGACCACTATATACCTATTAGAAGGCCAAAATTTAAAACAACCCCCCAAATGCTGCCAAAGATGTGGGGCAACAAGAATCTCATTCAGTGCTGGTAAGAATGCACAAAAGTTTAGCCACTTTGGAAGACAGTTTGGCAGTTTATTACAAAACTAAATGTACTGTTACCATATGGTTCATAATAGCACACCTTGGAATTTACCCAAAGGAGTTGAGTATATCTACACAGAAACCTGCACACAGATGTTTTTAATGGTTTTATTGATAAGTGCCAAAACTTTGAAGCAACCAGGCTGTCTTTCAGTAGATAAATGAGTAAATTATGGTACTTCCAAACAATGGAATATTATTTAGCACTAAAAAGAAATGAATTACCAAGTCATGAACAGACATGGAGAAAACTTACAGGCATATTACTAAGTGACAGAAGCCAATCTAAAAAGACTGCATACTGTATGATTCCAACTATATGCTAGTCTGGAAAAGGCAAAAGTATGAAGACAGTAAAAAAGATCAATGGTTGCCAGTGTTTAGAGGGTTGGGAAGATTGAATAGGCAGAGCATATAAGATTTTAGAGCAGTGAAACTATTCTGTATGATGCTAGAATAATGGGTACATATCAGTTGTACCATTGTTCAAAGCCATAGAATGTACAACACCAAGGGTGAACCCTAATGTGAACTGTGAATTTTCAGTGATAATGATTTGTAAATGTAGGTTCATTGATAGTAGCAAAGGTACCATTGGTTCAGGATGTTGATTCTGGGGGAGGCTGTGCATATATCTGTGTTTGAGTGTATGGGAACTCTACACTTTGAGTTCAATGTTGTTGGGAATTTAAAACTGCCTTAAAAATAGTCTATTAAAGAAAAATATATTAGAATATGCTTGCCCAGCCCGGCGTCGCTCAGCGGTTGAGCTTCGACCTAGGATCCTGGCGATCGGGGTTTGATTCCCAGTCAGGGCACATGCCCGGGTTGTGGGCTCGATCAATGACTCTCTCATCATTGATGTTTCTGTCTCTCTCTTTCCCTCTCCTTTCCTCTCTCTGAAATCAATAAAGATATATTAAAAAAATAAATAAATAAAATATGCTTAAGTATTTAAAGGAAAATAAGAATATAAGAAAAGTAATGAAAGCTACATGTAGAACCAAAGGAAACTTCTAGGTCTGAAAAACATAATACTTGAAATAAAAAAAATTCACTGGATGGGTTGAAGAATTCTAAAAACTATAGATCAGTGAACTTGAAAGCAAAGCAATAGGGACATTCCAAAATGAAGTATAGAGAGAAATAAGGCTAAAAAAACATAGAGCCTCAGTGACCTGTGTCTCAAGATCGATCATGCTGTTTAACATGCATGCACTTGGAACCGTGGTGGTAGAAAAGAGAGGAGAAGCAGCAGAAAAATATTTGAAGAAAGAATAGCTGAAAATTTCCATACTTGAAAAATCTTTAAACCACCCATTACAAGAAGCTCGACAAAACCAAAGCAAGCTAAACACAATAAAAACAAGACTGAGGCATATCATAAGTAATATGTCAAAAATCTTAAAAGTTGCCAGAAAAAAATGCATTACATTCAGGGAAGAAAGTGAATAATGCCCTAATTTCTCATCAGAAGCCAGAAGACAATGCAATGACATTTTTACTGTGCTAAAAAACTTCTACACTTGGAGAAAATAATCTTCAATAATCAAGGTGAAATAAAAACAAACAAAATATGAGAGAATTTGTTGCTCGCAGACCACCACTGCAAGGCATGTTAAAGGAAGTTCTTCAGGTTGATGAAAGACAATAACAAATATTAGCATCCACACCAATGAATGAAGAGTACTAGAACTGGAAACCGTGAGTAAAAAATGAGACATTTCCCATGATTTTAAATTTCTTTAAATAGAATTAAACTGACAAGAAGGTTCCAAATTTTATGTGGCAAAGCAAAGGACCTAGAATAACCAAGTCAATTTTGAAACAGGAGAATGAAGGTGAAGGACTTACCCTATCTGTTTATAAGTGACTTATTATAAAGCTATAATAATCAAGGCGGTGTGGTATTTGCCTAAGGATAGATGATATATAGATGGCATCAGAAGAGTAGGTCCAGAAATAAACACAGACCTATATGATCAATTGCTTTTTGACAAACATGCAGAGGTGATTCAGTAGAAAAAGGCTGATTTTTAAATAAGTGATGCTGAAACAATTGGATATTTATATGGGCAAAAAATTAACCTCAATTCCTATGTCATATCGTATGTCTAAATTAACTCAGAATGAACCATTTAAATTTAAAAATTTGAAAAGATAAAAGAGGAAATGTTTGTCATCTTTTTATAAGAAAAGATTACTTAATACCCCAAAATTCCAAGACATAAAAGAAAAAACTGGTAAGACTTTTGAGATAGTTAAAATGTCTGCTCTTTGAGAAACTGTTAAAGGGAAAAAATGCAAGCAACAGACTAGAAGAATATGTTTACAGTGCATACATCTGATCAAAGACTTAAATTTGGAATATGTAAAGGATACTTACAGCTTAATAAAAAGAAAGTAAACAGTCTAATGAAAATAGGTGAAAGGTTTGAACAGAAACTTCACCAAAATATACAAGAATGACTACTAGACACCTAAAAAGGTACTAAACATAATTAGTCATTAGCTCCCAGAGACCCAAAACATCGCTGTGATCCACTAGTCAGAGAGTAAGGGCACATAGAGGTCAGGTGATCAGTGGAGCTCTAGCTCAGGTCCATCTCACAGTGGGTCCAGTGGGTCACCGAGCCCATCCAGTGGTTATTTCCCCTGTTCCAGAACGTATACTTGCAAGAGAATATTTAGCAACTGGCAGAGTCTCCACACTTGGTAGTTGAACTGTGGAGTGAGGGCTCTTATGGTAGGAAATGGCTAAGTGGAAGCCACTGGGGCTGCCTCTACCTATGAAAATAGTAAACCAATTCCACATTTCTGGAGGGATTTCAGAGATTAATGCCACCGTCAAGAACTTGAAAGATGCAGGAGTACTGACTCCCACCACATCTCCCATTCAACTCAACTATTTGGCTTGTGTAGAAAACATACAATCTTGGAGAAAAACATTGGGTTATTATAAACTTAATGATAGGTGACTCCAACTGCAGCTGCTGTTCCAGATGAGATTTCATTGTCTGAGCAAATTAACACCTTTCTTGGTACCTGGTGTGTACTTATTTATACAGTGAATGCTTTCTTTCCCCCCAATATCTGTTGGTAAAAACCACCAGAACCATCTGCTCTCAGCTTGCCAGGCTGACAATACAAGACTCCGTCCTACCACAGGGGTATATCAACTCTCAGGCTTTATGTTGTAATTTAGTCTGCAGGGGCATTTTTCTTCAACAAGACATCACACTCGTTCATTTCATTGATGACATTATGCTGACTGGATCCAGTGAGCAAGAAATAAACATACTGATTTGCATATCAGTGTGAGAAATAAATCCCACAAAGTTTCAGGGGCCTTTCACCTCAGTTAAATTTCTGGTGTGTTTGGAGTATGTCAAGACATACTTTCATCCAGCCCCTCTTACAACCAAAAGAGAGGCACAATGCCCAACGGACCTCTTCCCATTGTGGAAGCAACACATTCCTCATTTGGATGTGCTACTCTGGCTTATTCGTTGAGTGACCTGAAAAGCTGCTAGCTTTGAGGGGGCCTAGAACCATAGAAGCTTCTGCAACAGGGCCAGACGGCTATTGCAGGGTGCACTGTCATTTGAGCCACATGATCCAACTGGTCCAGTGGGGCTTGTGGTGTCAGCGGTAGACAGAGGTGCTGTTTGGATCCTTGGGCAGGGCCCTACAGGCATAGAAAATGCTACTCTCTTTATTCGATTTACTTTTAGAACCAGAACCTGAAGAGCCTGAAGAACTTTCAGAGGGTGAAAAGCTTGAAGAGGCAGAAGAAGAGCCTAAGAAGGAAGAAGAAGAAGAAATAGAGATGGGCGCAGGGCAGTCAACCATACCAGCCAACCTGGAGCGGCTGTGGTCGTTTTCCTGTGACTTAACCAAAGGGCTTAACGTGAGCAGCCTCACCTGGAATAAAACAAATCCAGTAAGTTATCGAATATTTTAACAACTCCATCTCTAGCTTTTAAAGGCAACTGTCAAGTCCAAAGGAAAATTCCTTTATCTATTAGGCAAGGTACTTAAATGGACATAATCCGTACTTTTAAAAATGCCTGTAAAGCAAGTTCGTATCTCAAAGGGGGGAGAATGCCTACAGTTACGAAAAAGTGTTTTTCTCCTTACCATTTTTATTTTGAGAGATTTACTTCGGACATCACATTCTCTGAATTCACACCAGATAGTGAGAAATGACCTAGGATATAATATATAATTGATTTATTTCAACATTTACTAAACTCACGGACCCAAATTTGTATTCTCCTTAAGTTAATCATATTCAGAAATAGATACTTCATCCAGTAACAGTGAAAATGTGCAAAATAATTTTGAGATTCCTTAAAATACTATCGCTACTATTAATAGCAAATACTTAAATAGTACTTACTACGTACCAGACATATTGTAAGCACTTTACTTGTATTAACATAAAAACTCTGTGAGTTAGGTATTAATTTCCCCATTATGTTGATAAAGAAATTGAAGCACAGAAAGGATAAATAACTTGCCCAAAGTTATGCAATGTAAGTGAAACAGCTAGGGTCCAAACACAGACATCCGTCTCCAGGTTTCTTACTCTTAAATATTACACTGCTAAAAATCATCTTGAGACAAATTAGACGAATCATTAAGCAGGGGAATGGTATGTTTGCTTGTAAAAGAGAAATGATTATAGAGTAATGAAACTTATTTTCTCCTGGGATTTATAAACTGCTTCTGAAGACAGGATTAGTTATTCCTAAACCCTTTCATGTAATGTCAATACCTTTGAAATAAATATTTAGTGTATTTTTAAAGTTAACACATAATTTGAATTATGTATATTATTATTATTACTTTAAGTATGTTTTTATTGATTTTAGAGAGGGGGGACAGAGAGAGAGGGAGAGAGCGAGAGAGAGAAACGTTGATCCTCTGTTTCATCCAACCCACCCTTTATTCTTTTTAGTGTAGTCTTCATTTCAGATATTATATTCCTCACTTGTTCATTTTGATGGCTTCTATGTCCTTTTTTACGCTTGCTATCTCTGTTGAAGTTCTCACTAATTTCCTTGAGCATCCTTACAACCATTTTGCTGAACTCTCTATCTGGTAGATTGCTTGCCTGTATTTCATTTAGCTCTTTTTCTGGAGATTTCTCCCTGTTCTTTCATTTGAGGTGTGTTTCTTTGTCTCCCCATTTTTTCTGCCTCTTTGTCTTTGTTTCTATGTATTAGGAGATCTGCTGTGTTCCTAGGTCTTGGTAGGGTGGCCTTATGTAGTAGGTGTCCTGTGGGACCCAGTGGTGCAGTCTCCTTACCATCTGAGCTGGGTGCTCCAGGATCCTCCCTGGTGTGAGCTATGTGAGCCCTCCTGTTATAATTGAGTCTCAATCACTATTCACTGGAAAGCGTGGGGAATGGCTTCTGCCCCACAGCCACACAACCCATTCATGGACACCCCCTGAGTTTGCCTGGACTTTTGCTCCCTGGCTCTGATAGCAGACTTCGCAGCAGGGCATGAGCTTTACAGGGTAGGACAACAGGGAGATCAGAGGGTGGGGCTCTTGCATTCCCCAGGCTGATGCCGAAAGGGGAGGGCTCCCACCCAAGAAAGATGGTGTCTGCAGTGTGGTAGAGGGCCTCAGTGCAGGAATTCTGGTCACTGTCCCCTCAGCTTCTTCCCCAGAGCCACAAACCCCAGCGGATCCTCACATGATTATAGTCTTATAGTCTGCTCTACCCTCTCCCTGCCAGAGCCCAGGGTGAGTGGCTGTGAACAAGATTTTGTGAATTGGCCCTTTAATATGGCTTCCGTGCCTCTAGAATACTCCTGTCTTTCCCTGATGGACAGAATTCTCACTGTTTTTCACAGCAGATGTTATATGGACTCCTCTTCCCAGCTTTGGTGCTTTGGACTCGGGAGCTTGGCGCTGGGGAGCTTGGCATTGGAGTTGAGACACTGCTCCTCAGGGGAACCTTTGCAGATGAGATGATCCTCTGGAATCTCAGCCATGGCCCATGGGAGTGGGGCCAGCTCCTTTCACGTCTCCACCCTTCCTACCAGTCATCATGTGGCTTCCTCTGTAAATCTTTACTTATAAGACTTCTGTTCAGCCAATGTTCAGTTGGTTATTCAGGTTGATTGTACTATATTTTAGTTGCAATTTCAGTTTGGTCACTAGGAGGTGAGTGTAGCTTCCACCTACTCTGTAGCCATCTAGGATATCCATTGGCATTTTAAAAATTAATATACAGCATGGTGCAAAGTAGGTTTACAATTGTGAGTACATAAAACACAGGGTTTATTTGTGTATTATTATTTATTATTTTGTTATTTTCTATATGAACAACTGTAAAACTTTTGCCCCATCCTGTAGTGCTGTTAAGATTAAACGTAAATAATTGTGAATGAAACTAAAATATATATGACAAATGGTGTTTATTATATTTATTATTCTAAACTATTCTACAAATATTTATTGAATATTTACTCTGTGCCAGGAACTCTGTTAAGGCACTAGAGATATAGTAGTAATTTAGTCATATATGGACACTGCCCATATAATTGTTTTCTACGTGCTTTAATAAGGAAAATAAATAGTGCTGTGGGAGCACATAAGAGAGTTTCATGAATGCTTCTTAGAGGAAGTGGTGCCTATGCTGAGTTTAGAAGAGATGAAATAGGAGTTTTTCAATGTCTGGGTGAAAGGACAGCAGTAAAGAATATTTTAAGGCAGAGGGAATTGTAGACGGATGAATTTTGCTTGAAAGTAGGGTGATGGCAAGAAAACATAACAATATATTTTTGATAAAGGTATTCTGATTACAAATAAAAAAACTGAGTTTGGTCAATCACTAGCTTTTAAAAAAACACTTTCATTAATTTTTAGAGAGGAAAGGAGAAGGAGAGAGAGAGAAAAAAAAAAAACGTAGATGTGAGAGTGAAACTTTGATCAGCTGCCTCCTGTACATCCCATACCAGGGATTGAGCTCACAACCCAGGCATGTGCCCTGACTGACCTGACGGGGAATCAAACTGGCAACTCTTCAGTGCACAGGACAATGTCCAACCCACTGAGCCACACTGGCCAGGGCAATCATTAACTTTATAACCATTTCTTGAAATGACCTGCTGTACTCATCAGCTTAGGGTGCCATAATAAAATACCATATACTGGGTGACTTAAACAACAGAAATTTATTTTCTTACAGTTCTGGATGCTAGGAAGTCCAGAATCAAGGTGCTAACTGATTGGGTAACTGGTGAAGCCTCTCTTCCTGGCTTGCAGACAGCTGTGTCCTCACATGGTGGAGAGAGAGGGCTCTGGTGTCTCTTTCTCTTTTTATAAGGCCATCGATTTTGTCAGATTAGGACCCCACCCATATGACCTCATTTAACCTTAATAACGTCCTAAAAGCCTATCCTTAAAATAATCACATTGGGGATTATGACTTTTGTATATGAATTTTGAAGGAGCAGACACAATTCATTCCATGACACCTGTTGTTACCTTAAATGTCTTTTATTTTACATTTGAAATGATTCAAAAATTCATGGGATATTATAATGTAATAATGCAATCTTGGAAAGATTATAAATCTTTTATATGTATCTCAATAATAAAAGAACTTGTTAGCAATTCATTCTTTTGGGGTACTTATTCTTTAATCTGAAAGTTTGATTTTTATTATAATTTTGCTTAGGAAGATGAAGGTATAAAGTAAAATACATGGTATACTGTCATTTTAAAAAATCTCAGTTGAACTATTTTAAACACAGTTAATTAATATGCATCTTTATACATTTGCCAATATTTGTATACCACCGTCTCTTATATTAAATGTATTTTTCTGGTTTTCAGGACCTTTTGGCTGTTGGCTATGGGCATTTTGGATTTAAAGAGCAAAAAAAAGGATTGGCTTGCTGCTGGTCAATAAAGAATCCCATGGTAATCCAAACAGGAATAAGACCCATTTTTATTTAATTAAATGTTGGCATAACTATCATAAAGTAGTTAATTGTGTATGATAAAGTCAAGAATATTTTTCAAACAAAACTTCTTTTTTGGTTTAAATACATAACAATTAAAATGTGTTCTTGTTGAAGGATAAAGTAAATTCATTTACAAATTCATTCAGTATTTAGTGAGCATCTACTATGTGCTGTCAGATCTGAAGATCCAGAGCTGAACCATCATTGTTTATCACTGCTAAATACAAAGAATGAATTTGCAAATGAAAAGCCTTTGAAAATTACATCTCATTCAATACTGGGTGGTTTCTTAATATATGAGTATCTCCTTATCACCTTACAATACAGATTTCTGCTGCCCTCAGTTGATTTAAAATAGATTGATATTATTGCCATGAATTTTTCAAAGAGAATAAATAAGAATCAGTCATGTTTTTGTGTGTGTGATAAATAGCCCTAGTCAACTTGTTACTTTATAGCTTTGCATTTAGTTTTAATTCACAACTGAGATGTAAAGTAAAAAACTTAATAAAGGATCAGAAGAGCATATAAAATTAGAGTTTTTATAAATAGTCTCACGTTTGTTAGGAAGATAGGTTTATAGAGCATAAAAGAAAGGAAGAAGCAACTTTAAATATGTGGAAGGATTGATATAAGATTCTTCATCAGTAGGTTGTCTTCTTTTCCATGTAGAGTGTTAAAAACAAGAAAGGATTTAGATTAGACATTAAAACAAACAATAAAACTCTTGACAGAGTTGTAGAAAAGAGTACCTTAGAGAGTCCTGGAGCTTCTTCTATCGGTTGTTTTGGAACATATACTGGAAGATAGGAATATATATGCTAGGTAATTTGTTTTGGAGCCCATTATTTCTTTCTTTCAGAATGTAAACCTATAGTGATCAAACAAATCCTGTTGAAAGATTGCCAAAATATGGTAATTATTGTAAAAACCCATCTTGTATTTCTTAAAATTATTGAGCTCTGAGGATTCGTCAAAGGAAAGGCAAGGAGGCTCTGTTCTCATTTATACTGGAAGTTAGGGAGAGAAGAGTAACTAAATGGGGACTAACTCTTCTCACATCCCCACTGCCACCCAACAACACTGCAGCCATCATCATACCCTACCTGCTGTGGTCTACGAAACCAATGTGATGTCATTTTTTTTTTTAATTCAGTGGCCAGAACGTATTTATCAGAGTCTACATGGAGTTACTGCTGTGGACTTTTCGATTGGAACACCCAATCTTCTGGCAGTTGGCTATCACAATGGCACCATTGCGGTGTATAACGTACAGAGCAATGTTAATGTTCCAGTTCTGGATAGCAGGTGAGAATCCAAGAATTAGATAAACGTATAGTACATACTTATTTAGAGAGAAGTAAAAATACACTCTAACGTTATTTGGTTCTGAATGAGTGTTTACGTTGTTACCGAGAGGGCTACCATTATTTTTCAAACATTTACTGATCCCTCATCCTGTCTCCCCAGCTGCAATGCTTTGCTCTAATATCCCCTTCATCTCCTTCTCTGCCCACCTCATCAACAAACTTCCTTTGGCTTGACAGTTTATGCTTATTCTTTTTTAAAGAAAATTAATTTTTTCTAAGCTTTATTGAGGTATAACTAAAGAATTTGTATATATTTAGGTTGTATATGATGATTGAATATATGTATACATTATGAAGAGCACAATCAAATTAATTAACACATCCATCACCATACATAGTTACCATTCTGTGTGTGTGGTGAGAACACTTAAGATGTCCTCTCTTAGTAAAACTCAAGCATACAATACAGTATCATTAACTATAATCACCATGCTGTACATTAGATCTCCAGAAATTACTCATCTTATAGCTGAAAGTTTGTATGTACCCTGGACTGCTGCGGTGTCATCTTCTCAAGGAAACATTCCCATGTCTTTCTTTTGTGCATCCTATACACACCTCTGTCACAGACATATCGTGCTGTATGTAAATTGTTTATGTATATATCATCTTCCTGAGGAGTCTATAAGCTCTTTGAAGGCAAGGATTAAGTCTTACTTATCTTTGCATGCTCAGTACATCTGTCACATGATATTAGATATGTAATAGGATTATAGTAAGTGTTTAAGAATGAATGAATGACTGTAAAGGCACAATGCAATATACAGATGATGTATTATAGGATTGTACACTTGAAACCTATATAATTTTATTAACCAATGTCACCCTAATACATTTAATAAAAAAGAAATAGATATTGAACTTTTAAAAGAAAAAAAAACACAGTGAATGAATAAATAAATGAGTCATATTGAGAAAATGAAAAAGTTAAAGGGGAAAAATATTGAGTACGTTAGGTTTTTGTGATAGACCAGATATCAATGGGGCAAAAATGAGGTAGAATATTTATGTTAGTGTTTGAGTAAACTTAGCAAGAACTGGGTGGCAGTAGGCATTAAAACAGGAGTTCTTAAGCTTAACTTTGAAATTATTTGCATAGTTTTGTAAGTGTGGGCCTTTCTGCTTATTTCCAGGAAGAGTGTCCATAAATTTTACCATATAATCAAAGATATCTATGATTTTTAAAAGATTCAGAACTATTATTTCGGAGAGTTTGCTTTTTAAAAGAATCAAGGAATTCAGGACTAGGAACAGAGCAACCCATTAACATTGATAGAAAAACAGTCAGTAATCTGACAAGTGATTTTAAAATTCACTGAGAAGTGAATAAAACTTAAACAACTTATTCATTTAAACTATGAAAAATCCTTATAAAAATAAAATACTTTTATTTAGTTTGTCTAAAATAAACTAAATTTAAACAACTTAACTGGGAAAAAATAAAAGGAATAGAGTAAGTGAAATATATTCTTAAGAGAGGAAATAATTTGCTTTTGTGTTTGTTATGACAGCCAATTTAATTAATGGCAGTAAAATTTTTCTTTTTTAAGAAATGAGAAAAACAGCAGTGAATATTAAGTGGCAAAGTGATGATCTTTCCTGTTTTTCAAAATATTTAAATTAAAAGTCCAGATTTGAGCAATAAAAGCATTCTATAAGTAGGTGATGGTGTTCTACAGAGTTGTCCTTATCACCTGTACTCCAAGTCTTTTTTAAAAAAAATATTATAATGAATCTATATTTAGTACTTTTCCCTGTTTCAGTGAATCACCTCAAAAACATCTGGGGCCTGTATGGCAACTACAGTGGATAGAGCAAGATCGAGGGACAACAGGTGATGACAAGAGAGAAATATTAGTTTCTATATCAGCAGATGGAAGAATCTCCAAATGGGTTATAAGGAAAGGACTGGACTGTCACGGTAAAAAAATATATACTACTAATAAATATATGTCAAATTATCTTTCTCTTGTTATATGCTGAATTAAAAATTCCTAGGAGACCATGTGTAAGAGGTGACAGATTTTGGTTTTGCTAAATAAGAAAACTGGGCTTGGTTATTTTCTTTCTAAGGATCTAGTTTGGGTATTTGCTAATTTTAACCTAATCACATGCAAAAGATGGCAGAAATCATTATTTGCAGAAGGGACACATTATATCTACAATACTTTTTCATGTGGTAAATCAGATAGATGATAGATGATAGATAGATAGATAGATAGATAGATAGATAGATAGATAGATAGATAGATAGATAGATGATAGATAGATAGATAGATAGATAGATAGATGATAGATAGATTTTTATTTTATTTATTTTTTGCCCTTCTAAAGTAATTTTAACAAAGAGGTTTGGAGACAGTTTAGAATTTCAGTTGAAACTAGTAACACTCTCAAACAACACTATTATATTTGCAAACTTACTTTTCTAAGGCAGAAAGCCTTTTCCCTTATTCTCTCCCATTCTTTTTTCCATTTATTTATCTCTGCCCTGCATCATTCTAAAAATTAGTTCAGATGCCCTGACAGTTGTCTATATAATTGCTTGGAACTATGGCACAGATGTAGCAGAAACAGCGTATGCGTGTTAAATCACATGGTAATTGATTTTCTTCCCCTGTTACCTGCTTGGTCCACTCACCATCCTAGCTTCTTCTAGCTACTAAAACCCCCATCCTGGTCCCAGGGAAAGCAACTTAAAACCTTCTATTTTCAGACCATGAAAAAACAGATCTAATGGCAAAAATCACAGTGACTTTATTTCCCCATGAAGGCAATAAAAACCTGTGTACCTCCATAATTTGAAACCCCTGGGGGGCCTAAGAAATGTAATGTATTTTTCCTTTAAATAAAGATTTGATGCGTTTGAAGCGAACTACTCCTACCGCCAGTAAAAAAGGAGGGGAAAAGGAAAAGAAAGGTGAAGCTTTGATATCTCGACAGGCTCCTGGAATGTGTTTTGCTTTTCATCCCAAGGTAAATTATTTCAAGCCATTATTTACTATTGCATATGAACAACTTCCAATAATTGAAGTGTATTAAGATAGGAAGCAAGACAAAAGGTTAGCATGTTGATTAATACTGTGCCTTGTAAGTGAAAAAAATAACAAACATAGCTTCCAACCTAAGGTAGTATGGCACATTCCAGTTGATTATATAGTCTGTCTTTATCTACTTTCCAGAGGTAAGGTCTGCATTTCTGAGGCACGATGGCAGGATCCTCTTTACAACTGCATGTTTAATGAGTGCCCCGCCCCTCCTTGCCCTTCTTATCTGCTCTGCTGCTCTATTGTACTGATAGAAACCAAATGTACTATATAGCCCTCTATACCCTCAGTGTGAGCAGTTACTCTTATGATTCTGGGGATCAGGAAGACCACTTAAGTTCATGCTTATCAAGACCAGAGTCAAATCAAAGCACAGTTAATGAACTTCTGGGTTTTTTTAAATATATTTTTATTGATTTCAGAGAGAAGAAGGGAGAGGGAGAGAGAGATAGAAACATCAATGCACACCCCCTACTGGGGATCAAGCCTGCAACCCAGGCATGTGCCCTGACCAGGAATCAAACCATGACATTAAAATGAGAGCTATTATTTACCAAAAGACACTAAAGAAAATAAGAAGCCATACACCGGGAAAAGATATTTGTGACATATTTAATAGATAAAGCATATGTATTAGAACATATAAAGAAATTACACAAATAAATATGCAAAAGACAGGTTATTAGTAAAATAGTCAAGAGATATGAACAGAATAGGAAATAAAAATGTGCTTAACACTTAATATTCACATACATGGCACCTAAGATCATCAGGTATAACTTTACACTTAATGGCAAAATTTAAGATTTCTTTATAACCAACTGTTGAAGAGAGCATAGGTCAAAGGGGACTTTTATTTACAGTTGAATGTAAATTAGTAATACTACTTTGGGGGAAAAATTTTACTTTTTGTGTAATTTAAAACTGCATATACCCCATCATCCAGTAGTTGCATTCTTCAAGTACTGGTACACACTAAAACAGTGTGTCTCAAATTTTAATGTACATATAAATTATTTGGAAATCTTATGAAAATGCAGATTCTGACTCAGAAGGTCCGGGGTAAGGCCTGAGATTCTGCAGTTCTAAAATGGTCCCAAGGTGATTCTGACCCCACATAGTGAGGACATAGGACACTTACTTCCAGACTTCTCTATAGGAAATACATTTAAAATCTTTATTTAATACATACATTTAGTTACAGATTTCTGAGAAACCATCTAGTTCAAGTTCTCATTCCCAGCAAGAACCATTTCTTCAGCATTATATACATTAATAGGTATTATTAAGTCATCTGCCTTATCCTTGACTAGTTCTAATGAAAGAATACTTACTATTTCCCTGGACTGCTAGTTCCAGTGTCAGATAGTAAAAGTGTTAAAGAGTTTCTTCCCCATTTTAAGCCAGTGTTTGTCCTTATAATTTCTAAATTATATCCTCTATTCCAGCAAAGAACAAATCTATGTTTTCTTTGCACAGTAGGCCTTCAGGTAGTTTAATGATTATAAAATCATGATAGAAAGAAAAAGGCAATGGACAACTATCTTTGAGGTAATATTTCTAGTTTTGGTTCTTGAATTGATTTTAATGTATCTTGAATGGTCTAATCTTCTATTTAGCACATTTACCAATGTATTAAAAACAAACGCATTTTGTTTTTTGTGTTGTAGGACACAAATATCTATTTAGCTGGCACTGAAGAAGGCCATATTCACAAATGTTCTTGTTCATACAATGAACAATACTTAGATACCTACAGAGGACATAAGGTTAGTTTAATTATAGTGAGTATGGAAAATTTATCTTGTAGTATTTCTGAAACAATAATGTCATTATACATAGTATTTTTAACATGCAATAAGTTTACAACTTCAGAGTTAAAAATATCAACTCAAAATAAGTGCTTTCTTACTTGGAAACCACTCATAATGTCTGGGGCGTTTTATCTGGCTTCCAGATATCCTCGATTTTTTTCTTGCACATTAAGGAAGTCACAGTTTTTATTTGTTTCTGAAAGGCTTTGCTTACGATAACTTGCTGATCCGAAAGTAAAATTATCTCTTGGCTATCCCTGTTCTCTGTATCTTTTATGATTGTTCCATCTATATTCATTTCTTAATACTCCTTATATTTTTAAGTAAATATGTATAATATGTATTAATATTTAGTGAATATTATATCAACTATTTTTTATGTTTTTGTTTGGCATAATTTAGAGAAGATTCAATTTATGACCTTACCCTCAGCAAAAATAATACCCACACAATAATGCATGGTAGATAAATCTTCTAGAAATCTTTTTTAAATGATTTTTTTTTTAAATATATCTTTATTGATTTCAGAGAGAGGAAAGGTGAGGGAGAGAGAGAGATAGAAACATCAATGATGAGAGAGTCATTGATCGAGCCCGCAACCTGGGCATGTGCCCTGACCGGGAATCGAACCCCGATC